TCGAGTTTCTTAAAAAATAGTTGTTCGCGGACCGTTTCACAAAAAAATCACACAATTGGAATTTTTCAAATTTGCAAAAAAATCAATTTTTAAGCTAAGCACGGCCTAAAAACAAAACAAAAACGACCCAAAAGTTTCAAACGAACCCAATAAACTTGCTCTAATATTCCATAAACCCTAAGGCGATAATTGAGTGTCAAGAAACTTTTGACATAAAATGCAGACTTGACTATTGTTCATTGCAGTAGTCATGACAATATGACGATAAGGCTTTTGTGCTACAATTTATTGCTTACAATTAGAAAAAGTCTTTAAATGGGCTTTTGAATTAGGAATTTTGGTTTACTGTTTTATGTTTTTTTTTGTAAAATACGACATGTCGCAAGGTAACTAAAAAAATCATAAAATAAAACTTACTTAAGAAGCGAGAGAAGAAAAAAACAATTAAAATTTTTAAAATTTTTTAAATTAAAATTTATCGCTTAATTCTACCCTTGCCTTGCTCTGATATGTCGTATTTATGACATACTCTTTCCATTCACAAGCCTTACTCTTTTCCAGATCTACTCTTAATTGATTTAAACCTAGCTCCACCATAGCTTCACCTTCACAGTGCATTTTTCAGGGCACCGTGCAGTGCCCTACACTTGCCTACCCTAAAACCCTAAAAGCTCTTCGTCCAAACTTTTTCAAGTTTGACCCTAGCTCTATACCTACTCATTCGTTTCCCTAGCCTTGTTTTATACAGTGGTCTCTCTATATAGTGAACCATCTGTATAAGCAACTCTCCTTATAGTAAACAAGAAATTTGGCCCCGCCAATTTTAATTTGCACTAAAAAGCCTCTCTGTAAAGACGACACTTCCTGTAGTTAACAAAAAAAAGTCAATCTCTTCGGGTTGCTTATATAGAGAGAGTACTGTATTTCTTACACCCTAGTCCTACTGTGACTTATCTTTGTCGTACCCTTGCTCTTTTAAAACCCTAAACTTGTTCTTTACTAGTTTTAACCAAACTGTAGCTTAGCCTTACATTCTTCACAGTGTTTTTGCATTATTTTTGCCTACCCTAACACTCCAGCAACTCTTTTTTCAAGTTTTACCCTAGCCTTATCCATGCTTATTCTTTTTTCTAGCTTTTCTACATCTTTATTTTGAACTAGCCTTACGGACAGCGTCCTACCTTTGCATATTTTTGCTCTTATCAAGGATTGCCTTTGACTTTTAATATTTTTAACAAATCTCTACCTTAGCCTTCACCTCACAGTGTACACTAACTTACACTAACGTCTTAAACGCTCTAATAATTCTTAAAAATCCTAATTTCAAGCTTAAAAACCAATCGCAAGCATACCCACCTTCAACCTTAAAACACCCCTCCCCTACCCTTCACCGTTCCTACCGTGATAACCCCAATCCGAAAAACCCCGACTTCCGCCAAAAAACAACGGCACAAGTGTAAAACTTAAAGATTTTCTTTCCAACAACAGAATCCGCTTTCCCTCGCTTCGTACGCTTCGGCGGACCGGAAATGCCTTTCTAGCCCTGAGGGCCTTATGCTTGGCAAAAAAAACTTTAAGAACGTTTTCTTTCAAAGATTTTTTTCCATTTTTCCTCTCCTATTGTGGCGCGATAAACGGAAAACATAACAAATAATAAGGCTTAGAGATAATAAGTGTTGGAGTATGAATGAACTTGCCAGAATTAGTATTAAAGCTATGGTAGAATATAAGATAACGTCATTTTTGTTTGGATGAGAGGATTTGCAAAGTTTTAGTAAAAATATTTTTACAAAAAATGAAATTTAAAAGGAAACTGATGATAAAAAAAAGATGGCCGGTAACTTTCGTTATAAAAATTTTTTGTTAACAAGGGTGATTACGTTCGACGTTTATCATAGCAAATTGCAGAGAGAAAAAAAAAACAAAAAAAATTTATAAAACTTTGGGCAACATAAAAATGTTTTTTGTAATCATTTTTTCGATAACTCTGCCCTCCCCACCCCGTTGATGCTACCCTCGCTTTGAGCCTCGCTCCTAGCGTTCCTATCTCTAGCTACAGTTGTAGCTCTCACCCTTTAGCTCTAGTTCTGGCTCTAGCTTCAGCTCTAAATCTAGCTCTAACCCTAACTTTAATACTAGCTCTAGCTCTAGTTCTAGATTTAGCTTTAGGCTTATCACTAGCTTTAATTCTAGGTCAGTTTTTAGCTCCGGTTGTAGCTCTAGCTCTGTTTCTTTCTAGCTGAAGCTGAAGCTTAAGTTCTAGCTCCAGCTTACGCTCAAGCTTTAGCTCTAATCCTAAATCTGATCTGCATTTTAAACACTTTAATTTTTTTAAATTAAATAAAAAACGCTTTTGACCTCGTTTTAGTTTACTCATTTCTCTATCAAAGAACGTAAACAAAAAAAAACAATTTTGTGACAAAAAAGAGCTGCAAAAAATAGTTTTATGATAAAACAAGCTGCGGACCACAATCCCAGAACATATGCGTAATATTTCCACGAAAACGGTCGGTAATTGCACGAAAATTCGACAGTAAAGGCAGCAAAAAGAACTTGCTAAAACCGGGCTCTTATTTAAAATCAGGCCTGACAGGCCTTCCGGCTTTTAACGCCAAAAAACTTGAGCAAAACGTGGTTGACTTCTTTTGGGTGGATAAGTCATCCTGAATTTCATTCACGGCTATTTTTGGCCTTTTAATAGCTATAAATAAAGGGGCCAAGTAATAGTTCGTTAAACGTCAACCGGCTGCAAAACGGAAGCTGAATGGAGGAGGTTGTTGCAGGAAACTGGCGTCAATTCTTCAGGTAGGAGGGGGGGGAGGAGGAAAAAGGCTTACTATAATGCACTTTACCTTTCCGTAGTCTACCGTACCCTACCCTACTCTATCCTACTCCATGTTACCGTATGTTTCTCTATCTTTTATTCTCGTTTACCCTACCGTGCCCTGCCCTACCATGACCCTCCCACCCCGTTTTTTTTTACTTTTTTCTACTTCCCTTCCCTACCCTTACTACCTTCAAAAGCTCCTACATCCCTTACTTCAACCCCTTGTTTCAGTCACCAGACATTACCCCCTACCCTGCCTTATTATATTCTACTCTACTTACTCTACCCTACTTATTTTTACCTTACACTACCCTACTTTTTTTTTTAAATTTGTTCTCCTTCCTTACCCTCCCCACCCTCAAAAGCACCCTTCTCCCTTCTATCTCTCTTTCCAGTTACCACGCATCCAAACATCACCCCTACCCTACACTGATTGCCTCAGCGTATAAGAACTACAATTCTCGGATATATTGACTTTTCACCGAATAAACGCCGTGAAACAGGCATGACGTTTGAATCGGCGGTTGAGCGGCCAAAACACTACGAAATTAGGTTACTCGGAAGAAGACAAAAATAAGACGACGCAGCGGTCGTTTTTATAGCACACGTGAGAAAATTTGCGACGACAAATCTCGAGAGTTAGGGGCCAATTGTAGAGCGACTCTCAACTTCCATAAAAGGCTTCGTCTTCACGGTGCTTAATGGAGGAACGTTTGAAGTGAGGAATTGTAAGGCTTTAGGGCTTTTTTACAAAAAGAAGTAATTATAAAGTTGCAAAATAAACCAATGAAATTGAATTTAGAATTTTCTAGACTTTTGGTATTATTGGTTAAGTTTTAAAGAGGGGGTATGAGCTATGGGTATAGCTATAGCTAAAGATAGAGCTATAAATAAAGATATTAATAAGGTTACAAATAGGGCTATGGGTAAGTAGAGAAGGTGTGGGAAGAAGCTTACTTAGGACAACATGTAGGATTAAAGAGACGGCTAACACAGAGCAAAGAGAACAGCTAGAGACTAGAGCTTAGGCTACAACTTAAACTAGAGCTTAGGCGTGGGCTTGAGCTAAGACTAGAGCTAGAGATAAAACTAGGGCCTTAAACTAGGCCAAGTTTAAAAGTAGAGCTGGGGCCGTAAGGCTTGAGCTATAGCACTGGGCTAGGATTTTGGGCTAGGACTTTAGTCTAGAACTAAAGTTAGGGCTCTGGGTTAGGTCTGAGCTAAGGCTTTGAGCTAGAGCTCTGGGCTAGGGCCCCGGGCTAGGACTTTGGGCTAGGGTTCTGGGCTAGGACGCTGGCCTAGGGCTAATGATGGAATATAAGTTTACAGTTTGCATTTTCTATAACAAGAATTATAAAAAGCTACAAATTCATCTACTACAATATCCCAACTTTCTATGTTTTTCCTTCCGAAAACGTGACCTTGGCCTCTATAACAATATAAAATTGTAAAACTCAACAGGATACCGTTTTAAAATGATGTTCGATGCAGAAAAGAAACGTTTGGCCGTTAATACAAAGCAAAAACGAGAATTGTGACAAAGCCGCCAAAATTGTTTACCACCAAACAGCCCGAGGCTATGATAATAACAAATAATAAGTACTTGAGTTAATTGTTCTCCAGAGACGGTGTCGTACAATATTCGCATACCAAATTTGTGTAATGTGGTCGGGACTGGTAAAATACGGAAGTGTGGTTCTAGAGTTAATAACACAATGCCAAATGGCGCGAAATTTGAAATTCATTTTTTAAAGTAAAAGGTAAAGCTAATTTTGAATATAAGTTACAAATTGTATAAGCAAATAGAATTAAAAAATTGAGACTAATTGAACTGTTGCAGGGTAAGTTACCCACAATTTAAGCAAGTTATATCAATTCGCTATAACTAGTATAGCATAAATGCAAAAATCTTAGAAAAACTAACAAAATACGATTCGAAAATTTGTCAGGAATTATAATATCAGTTTAAAATTTTATTATTATTTACACCACTTTTTTAAATTTAAAAAAATCGCCGTTTAACTTTTAAAACTGCAGTCCGCAACAGTCCCGGGCGCATTCCGCCGATAAAAAATAAATAAAAAATCCTTTTTTGGGATGAAAAACCGAAGTCAAGATAAAAATGAGAGAAAACTAGTAAATTTGTTTAGTTTCTCAATTGCGCTCAGGAATAATGACGGCAAACGAATTCAACAACCAGTTGGAAGATGAAAAATGGCTTCAGAAGGCGTTTCACGACAACAAGGAGACGTTATGGCCAAGAGAAGCAGGTGAATTCGTGGCCAAACACACAAAAGTGATTAAGTTGAACGAAAAGAAAGTTGATGAGGTGGCTGAAATGGTAAGATTTTTGTTTTTGAAGGAAAAGATGAAAATTTTGAAGAAAACTTTGTTACCTACAACATAATATTTTAAGTTATGAGTTTGCTAGGCAATGTAAAACAAATATTTTAAGGTGTACGAAGAAATAAAAGCTGGAGCATTCGAAAAAGGTGAATTTAATGAGCACGAACTTCATCCAAAGTTCGACGATCCAGAACGAATGGCTAGGTGGTATGTTAACATTGTTTATTTTGTTTTATTTTTAGGTCAAACTTCTACAAAATAACGATAGAATCTTTTAGGGTCTTGTTCATAGACTCTGTAAACTATTGTTTTTGGCACGGATATAACAAAGGCGTTGAATATAATGGAAAAACTTACACTGGGTATTACTTTGGAGCTGCTTGTTTGAAAAGAGCGTTAGACGATCATGGTATTGACGTTACTGAGCCAAGTTACATGATAAGGATGGATACTGAGAAGTTTGAGAAGCTTTTTAGAGGAAAATGTAAGATTTTTGGTTTAAATTGATAACTTATGGCACATTTTTTGATATTGCACTTGGTTTTAGCGATGATGGTGAATATTTTTGTTTATAACGTAAAATTTTGGACTTTTAGCAACCTTACCCTTTAATATATGAATAAATAGGCGATGTAAAACATTTTAAAAGTTTATTTTCAGTGCCAATGGGCCTGTCTCATCTCCGAGCACGTTCGATAGCTGAAGCGGGTAGAGTAATATTGGAAAAATACGATGGTAAAGTGCTAAATCTATTGAAAGCGGCTGATAATAGTGCTGTAAAGCTAGTGAAGATACTAGTAAGGGATTTTAAAAGCTATAGAGACTGTTGTGTTTACAAGGGAAAGAGGTGTAAGTTGTTTTAGAAACGATGTTTGCTTTTTATTCGAATTCTTTGAGATTTTTCAATGTTTTTGGTTGAGATAACGTTCCTATGAGTGAATGATAAGTAGTATTGGTTTGGATTTTCAGTGATGATTCTAAAAAAGAGCTCAAATTTTTACGAATGATGTGTATTCTGCTTTAAAGGACAACCCAAAAGCTTCAAGTTTGGTCAATTTTACTGATTTTGGGTAAGTTTAACGCCGTTTTCAGCTTAATTTTTGTTTCTTTAGGTAACTTTTTATAGTAAAATATTTGTAAAAAATAATTTTTTTGAATTCAGGGAGCTCACCATGTTTGCCGACTACCGTGTGCCACAGATAATGTGTCATTTGGGCGTGTTAGAGTACTCTAAACAGTTCCAAGACATTTTGAAGCGCTTCACACCGATTCGAAAAGGTTCTCGGACTGAAGTTGCTATTCGAGGAATGTCAATTTATGCTTGTGATGTGAGTTCATTTTTTACGGGTTTTTTAGTCTATTTTTTATATTGTATTGATACTATAGGAAGGGCTGGAAAAATCTAAAAGTCTTTACCTAAAACTTAAAGTTGTTGAAAAATTGTTACCTAAAATTTTCAAAATGTCTAAAAGTCTTCAAAATGTTACCTAAATTTGTCTATTGGTCTAAAGAGCTTGAAATTATATATACTTAAAATTGAATTTTTGTCAAATTGTTACCTAAACTTTGTAAGATGTCTAAACGTTACATAAATCCCTCCCAAATCTAAAACTTGTAGGAGCTAACAAAAAAAGTAAAGCAACTAGAAGAAAAACTTGGTAAACTACATCGACCAGTCACTGCCGCTGATATTGATGTATTTTTATGGTTAAAACGTCGTGAGATTCCTGATCAAGTTGAGAAAACCACGCCTCATCACCGTGTTGTGACTTGGTTCTATTAGCTACTTATCATAGTATTTATACTGGTATTATATTTATTTTACCTATTTATATTGTTATAGGCTATAAAGTGCTAGATGAAAACTGAAAAATAGATTTTTTGAAGGTAGCGTTAGCAAAAACGGCAATAGTTTAAAGCAAGATGCTATATGTATTGCCTTTATGTTGATATAAAATTTATTAACATTACGTTATTATCATAAGGTAAGGCAAGGTTAACAAATTACTATCAGAGAATAAGACAAGATATAAACATTATTAGGTACTAGTTAGGCAACGAGACAGTATTATGACTATTATGGGTTTGGCAGTTGGTACACTTGGGTTAATATTAAATACGTGTCATTAACATTCAAAATGACACATAGAGCGGTTGGAAAGAGCAAAAACTGGTTGATAAGACAAGGATTATGGCAGATAAGCTTATTATCGATAAGGGGTTAATAATATTACAGTCGTCAAAACTAACAGGAAGATACTTTTTCATCGGGTAGGATAATATTAAGTTGTTCAACTCATTCTGTGCCCCCTGTTAAAGTAGTAGTTTTGAGGTTAGAAGGCGCCGAATTATTTGAACAACCTAATATTGAAAAAAAATGCTTGAAAAAGGGCGAAAAAATGGTCAATAAAAGACAGATACTGGTAGGTAAAACAAAGATAATGGTAAGAAAGGGCTCAAACAGGGTTTTAAGACAGTTAGATATCAAGAAAGAATAACTTACAATAACTACTACAAATAACAATTAAAAAAAGCTACCACAATATAAGAAAGAACCTACTACAATATAAAGAAAAGCTAATGCAATATAAAACTATTGATTACAATTTAAAATTAAAGAGACAAGCCTAAAGGCCTCAACCCAAAAAGACAAGCCTAAGGACCCAAAACTAAAAAGGTAAGCCTAAAGGCCTCAATCTAAAAAAAATTTCAATGAGAAGGTTTAATTTTAGTTTTGAGAGAACGGCCCTTGAGTTTAGACGTCCAGCTTGGTGGGACGTTCCTGATTGTTGGCACGTTGCTGATCCGACGGACTCTTGTCCAAGCTTTTCGTGACGGACGTGTGAATCGACGAGGTGCAGTCGCCTTCCCAGTCGTACTTTGACCCGATCGGGATCTTGTTCTCCTCGCAGCCCTGAAATTTGCATATGTTATGGTTAATGTTAAGGTTATATTATGGTGAATGTTAAAGCGACCCCCAAAAAACTTTAAATTCCAATCCCCTTACCTCCAACAGAACCTTTTGAAAGTCCGAGTAGGGTGGAGTGGAATCAAACGCCAGCTTGTCGATCATGTCCATCAGTTTGTCGTACTGTTTCGGGCATCCGGCAAAGAACGAGGCTCGTGCTGTGGTACGAGCACTCGTCTTGGAATCTTGAACTTTTGCACGATCGGTCACCATTCGCCAGGGTAGGGAGCCTTTGGTGATTTCTACCAACTAAAAATTGGGATTTTATTAGGTTCAGGGGATATTGTAGTACGTAGTTGTATGCAAAACGGAAAAAAAAGGTTATGTTATTACTAATGCTTTAGCAGTTTTCGAAAAAAGAAGGGTTTGAGGGTATTGTAGTAGATACGAAAAGATACTCACCATGTATAACCAACTTTCAAAATCGTCCTTCCTGCCGAGGTCGAGCTTTTGATGAGCTTGGAGCGACCCGTATCGTGTGGTACCACGCCATCCTGGGTCTTTGCGCGGCGGTAGCACGTTGAAGTTCTAAAATTACTTTACAATAACTTATTGTTGTTCTACTATTAAGTCGTTCAAATAATTATGTGTCCCCTCTCAAATCAGATTTCCGGGGTTTGGGGGCTCGGAATTATTTGAACAACCTAATATGAAGTGCCTAGAAAAGTACAGCTAAAAGGGCCAAGCAAATTGAAACTTTGGTACCATTTTTGTAAAAACTGGTAACACTTTAGAAAAAATGGTACAATTTCATAATATAGCTACCACGAAAAGTACAATACCTCAACTCTAAATCTTAAAGACCTCACCTTGTCCACATATCGCCTTGAGAGCCCAAAGTCGAACATGTACACGATCCGATGCTGATCTTCGTCCTTGTTGCCAATCGCAAAGTTGCCCGGTTTCACGTCGCGCGAAATGAATCCGGTGCGATGCAGTTCCTCAATAGCCGCACTCGTTTGCATCCCCACCCGCAGCGCCGTTCCAATCGAAAACTTTCGGTCCGGCTGATCGTTCCTTAGGCGGGCAATGTCCGGCCCGAGAAGGGTGACCACGATGAACATGTAGTCTGGGGAACAGCGGCCCTAAAGTTTGATAAATGTGCGATTTTTGAAGCTTTTAGGTATGAAAATTAAAAAAAAAATAATTTTTCAAATTAAAATTTTTTAAAATTTTACTTACCACATCATAGATGGTGCAGAAATGCCGACAACTCCGCGCATTCGTCGCTTTCAGCACGCCAATCTCGATCTTCAGCACCGTTTTACTCCACTTTTCGGCCTTCAACGCGTACGACCTGCTGTCAATGTCGCTTGCTTCGTAGACAGTGCCGTACCCGCCTTCGCCCAGGATCTTCTTCAGGTTGTAGGTCTTGTTCGAGTCGGATTTGACGGTTTCGCCGCTTTGTGGCAGTCGGTCGCCTTTGGTGGGGGCTGCAGCGGCAGGTGCTGGCGCGACTTCTGCCATTGTGCTGGTTTCCGGCTTTGGGTCGTTGCCTGAAGTTTGAAAAATGAAACAATGAGATGACGAGAGGAAACTATTATCACTGGATTTGTAAAGGGAGTGGGCTTTAGACATGAAAAACTACAGAAATGTCAAAAGTTAACAAAAGTTTCAAAAGAACTGTCAAAACCAACCTTTCTTGCTCGACTTGTTGGAGCTGAGACGCTTGGAGCACCACTTGTAGAGGCGTTGCACCGATAACGAACGGCTCCTTCTGTGCTTCTCGACAGCACGTTGGTAGTTGAGGTCCGCGTTAATCGTGCTGAAATCAAAATTTTATTATACAGGAGTTTTACTGTAACTTTGAAAAATAAAATTTAAAAGTTTTTTGAGGTTTACAATGCCAAACTTACAGTAACATTTTCATTTTACTACGTCTAATAGAGCTCATTTTAGTAGTAATGTAGAAATTTAAATGTTGAATAATGAAAAATCAAGCCCTCAAGCGATAATGTTACAATTTAAGTCTTTTTCAAAGTTAATTTAAAAGTTTCAAGAACAATTTTAGAGCTCAAAGTGACATTATTTTATCTTAGCTTATAAACAACAGCTCATCAGAACAATATGGTCTCTATAATCTTACAAATAAACAATTTGAAGTCTATTTAAAATTGATGAAACTAAACCAATTTTTTGACTTCTAAACTTATTTTTGAATCTACTAGACTGTAATCTTGGCTTTGTAAGATGCAAGACACCTATTTAACTTTAAAATACTCTAAAATTTTTAAAAAATCCAAATTTTGGGTCAATAATAACTAAAAAAGAAGTTTTTAAACCTAATACAATCAAAAAATAAAATTTCAAAAATAATTTTTTAAAAATTTAAAACGCCAATAATTTAACACTGAAATTTACCACAATAATAACTGAAGACCAAAAAACCCAAAAAAAGCCCTAAGGCTTGATTTCACAAAAAAAAATAAAAAAGTTGACTTACAAGATCAGCGACAGTAAGTTTAGTCCAGTTTTTGCTCAGTCCACGTTTGTGGGGCTGAAAACCGACCGCTCAACGGTGAAAAAGCGATCGGCACAAGAGCCACGTCGAATTTCCATCGACTCGCTCTTTGTCCACAAATTTGCATAATTCGACTGGTTTCGCTGGTTTGACCGGTTTTTAAAATGGGTTTTGGGTTTTTGATTTTTAGTTTTAGTTACGTGTATTGCCTTACTCTATTTTGTTGTACCCTACTTTACCCTACCCGACCCTACCCTACCCTTCCTTTCCCTACCCTACCCTACCCTACCCTACCCTACCCTACCCTACCCTACCCTACCCTACCCTACCCTACCCTACCCTACCCTACCCTACCCTACCCTACAGTGCCCTACCGTACCCTACCGTACCGTACCGTACCCTACCCTACCCTACCCTACCCTACTTTACCCTACCTGACCAACTTTACTTTGCACTACCCCACGCTACCCTACTCTTTACTACTCTACCTTCTCCTACCCTAGCCCACCCTACTTTATCTTTCCCTGTCTGGTCCTGATCTGCTTTGGCCTGGACTGATCTGCTCTGTCTTGCCTTGCTTTGCTTGGCCTATTTTACTTTATCTTACCCTATCTTATTCTAATTTGCACTTCAAGAAAGAGTACAGTATGTATGTTATTGGTACTGCACTGAATCCTACTATTTACCTTTTTACTATCTTGAAAACATGCTGACATTTAAAGTTTTTTTTACTTTAAATTCATTTAGTTTTTTTAAACTTTAACCTTTAAAGTTTTAGAAACTGACCCTGTATCTGTTTCTTTAGCCTATATCTTTCCAGCTCGCTGATTACTCAACACATTTTACATTTTTATAGCTTTTTGAAGCCAAAATGCATTCTTTCTTTAGGCATTTTAATTGAATTCTTCCTCCTTATTTAATTTTTACTTTTTAACTCGACATTCATTGTTTTTTAATACGGTTTTGAACTGTTTGAAATGCTTGGGGGTGTTCTTTTGAAAATATTGGTTATATAAAAATTGGGACGTGTTATATGATGAAAGGTGTACTACTATTTTTATTATAATTTAATTTGGTCGTTCAAGTAATTCTGCGCCCACTAATTCCGAAAGATTGAGAAGGGGCACAGAATTATTTGAACTACCTAATATAACCCATTAATATATGTTTAGTTTTATTTAGAATAGTAGTATAGTATAATGAAATAAGGCCTTTATAGCACCTGCAAACGTAAAGTAAAAGTAACTTATTATTCTTACGAATTCCAAAAGCAAAATTTTTTAGAAATTAAATTATGTTTTTTACGATTTGTGACTAATTTTACACTTGTTTTATACCCAAAATACGTCGTTTGCCGTTTTTTATGGTGTCGATTTTAACAACATGACTAATGAGTCACATTGTCAAACTATACGATACTTTTAGACTTATAACTTTGGAATTTTTGGACATTGAAGTAGCCAAAAATTAATGTAAATATACTGATTGTGACAAAAAATAATGGTATAACTCTTGTAATTCTGGAAATTTTATGTGATTAAAATTCTTAGGGTGAGTAGAGGAGCTAAGGTGGGTCAAATTTTAAACTTCTGTAAAAAAATTAAATTTTAAAAGTTGTTTTTAGCCTTTACAGTCTCTTTGATCTACCTATTTTATTTGATGGAAAAGGAATGCCTTTAAAGCCGTGCTTCCGTGGCGCAATCGGTTAGCGCGTTCGGCTGTTAACCGAAAGGTTGGTGGTTCGAGTCCACCCGGGAGCGAGTACTCTTTTGCCATTTTTATGAACATTTTTGTTATTTTTTTATAAAAAGCACATTAAAAATAATCATCTGGTTTGACAATAATTAATTTTTGTCAGTTTAGACCTAAATTTTTGAATTTACGTGCAAATAATTACAATTTTTTTCTTTATTTGTTGGTTTTTTTTGAAAAAATTAAGCTCAAAAACTGCCTGCATCTTCTTTTCGCGGCCATAGGTTGGGGTTTGGCCACACCGGACGTTTCAATTCTCCATTGTGTTGGAAACCGGTTTTTTCGTGCCTTTCACTTTTTGCTGCGCACTTAAAATAAATTGCCTATAGGGCATTCTAATTTGGCTCACAACCTGGTGGAAAGCGATACTCTCGCGCTTAGTTTTGCATTTATGGCCGTTTTTTTGTTGTTTTTTAAATATTTTGATAAGGCAGGGCAGCTTCTTCTTTTGAGGCTGTTTTACATGATTTTTCAGAGCATGGTATATCTTATAGGGTTGTTTTTTAGGTTAGGGGTTTAGAGGGCAGGGTAGATTTTTTAGTGTAGGGAATGGTAGAGTATGGTACAGAGGACAGGGTAGGTTTTCTTTGAAGGTGTTTTAGGTGATTTTCAGGGCATGGTAGGTCTTATAGAGTTGTTTTTTTTGAGGCTATGACATATTTTTTTTGGATAGGGTAGTGTACGATACGGTAGACCAGGGTAGGGTAGGGAAGGGTAAGTTAGGGCAGGGAAGGGTAGGGCAGGACAGTGCAGGATAGTGTAATCTCAATTACTTAAAGTCAGTTCTAATCCAAACTGACGTTAGTATAACATGTTTGATGGCCATAATGATGGCTTTACCACCATTGTTGCAGTTATGTCTTCTCGAGTTCGCTCTTCAAATTACTGTTCGGTTTTAAAATGAAATGCACTTAAAAGTGCATTTCGCGGGCTGACATGTTGCCGTTCGAAATTTGCATCAAATTTTCAAATTTGTTCGAATTTGGGTGGACGAAGTGGTTTAAAATGGCAATTATAAGATTATTAGGACGCTTTAAAGATCTGTGTTTTTCTTGTTGTTCTGTAATTTAGGTAGTAACAAGTATTGACAGGTAGCATATAATACTGTTATTGTACTATGCAGCTCTCGTACTATATATTTAGTACTATATAGGTCTAGTACTATATTTGCAGTACTATATATCTTTAGTACTATATACTACTACATACTTGATACTATATAGCACAAGTACTAAAAACAAACATCAAATTAAAGATATTAAGCGCAGAATATGCGTTGGCATAAAATGCGAGTGCATTTCTCATTCGCCCTCTCCCTGCCCTAATTAGTGCTCTTGGTTTCATTAGAGCGGCCGAAGTCGGCATTCGGTTGCAATGCACATGCATGTCACTGTCAGTGGGCGCGGTAAATAGGAGGCGAAATGAAAAATGCGGAAGCCGTGTTGACCACGGGTAGGGGCGTATTGAGCGGTGGGGTAGAGGGAGGTTTATTTTTGATTGAGAGGTTCTGGTGGGGTGGGGTAAAATACGAATTGTGTAGTTCATATTGGACAAATTAGTGCTTGGTATTACGATGTAAGGTTTTTGGAATTTGAAAAATTTTTTAATTTAAAATACAATTTTTTTTGAAATTTTAAAATTTTGAAAAATCAAAAAAACGTCTTTAGATTTTAAACTTTTAACCCACGCCTTACTAAAACTCCCAATTTTAACTTACAAACCCCTACCACCCCTAAGCCTAAATGAATTAGCCAAATAACTGTTTCGAAGGGGGAAATTTGCATATTTTGTTGGCAAAGTTCATGCCTGCAGCGCTAAAATTCGCATCCCCCAGGGGCCGGAAAATTATCGACCAAACAAATTAGGCAAATTTTAATTTTATCGCATTTCATGCGCAACAGTTCCGCGATTGTGCACTTTAAGGAGATGAAGTGCATCTTCAAACTGCAGCTTGCTGGAGGTTTAATTAAGTGTGGTGGAAAAAAAAATGTTCCTGGTGGGGGAGGGTAGGATAAAGGTGTGACACAATTATATAGGTTGGGTAAGGTAGGGTATGATAGTGTATGATAGGATAGGGTAAGTATCATACTATAGGGTAGGGTAGGACAAGGCAAGGCAAGGTAGGGCAAGTCAGGGTAGCTAGGCTTGGAAGAATTATTATTACTTCAAAATAAAGGTAAATTGCCGTCGATTTGCATGGGAAAACCGAATGCATTTGCACTCGCATTTTGCATTCTTCGTTTTTCCTTTTCTTAACCTTAATTTCAGGTCAATTCTTACTCATTTTCGTGGATTTTCAAGGCTTTGCTTATTCATTTTGGCTATATTTTTATTGCTTCGCAAGTTCTTTAAAAAATAAAGTTTAATTTGTAAGAGTTGGCAGGGGTAATGTATTATTTTTTTTGCGGGGGGTGTTTTTGAGTAAAAAATATTTTTTTTAAAAGGGGTGTTTTTGGCTAAAGATATTTTTATGAAAAGGCCGTTTTCGAGTAAAATACGGAAAGAAATTTTATTTTCCACAATATTTTGATAGTTTTTGGACCATTTATCACGTTTTGGCCACTTTTTTCCAAAAATGCAGCTTGGAAAGGTGACAATTCGAGATTTATGGGCACGATATAATTTTGGATTCTGGGGACAAGCTTCTAACATTGCAGTAGTTATTGAAACTACTAAGTCATATTTTTTCGAAATTTTTTTTAAAATTTGCTGCGTTTTGAAAGGATATAGGTAGGGTGAGGAAGGTAGAAGTACTGTGACTTTTTGATCCGCTGAAATTTTGAAATTATCAATATCAATTTGATGACATATAGAGTGGCCTAATATGTGCTAAAGTTTTAGGCTTTTAGCTATGTTCTGAAAGAAGATAAGTAAGCTTTAAGTAGTACTTTAAATTTTTTTACATAGACTGTCTTACCTTGTAACCAAATTTCAATAGCCTTGCTATTTTCCAAAAATAGTTACAGTAAGATAAAGACAGCACTTAATTTTTTTTCAAATTTTTTACAAAATTTTGCTTTCAAAACCTTAATTTAAAGATTTACTGCTGTCTATAAAGACAAAAAAACATGGTCGATTTTTTTATGGACATCTTAAAACAACTCAAATTAAGTCTCGATTTCAGGGATTTGCGCAACCGAGGGGTGCAGGTGCGGGCCATCAAGGTCAGGGCCTAATTATTTCTTGTTTGTCACAAGAAGTTTGGCCTTTTGTTTTTTGAGGCCAATTTAACGCTAGGACACTTGGTTTCACAATAGGCGTGACGAAATGGCTTGTGTAATTTACTGACTAGTGTAAACGGGGTAGGGGGGGGGGGATTTGAATGGGCTGGGTCTTTTGGGCTTGTGTAGAATTTTTTTTGGCTAGGGCGGATTTTTTTTGGCTAGGGTACGTTTTTTTCGCTATGATAGGTTTTTATAAAATTAGGGTAAGCTTTGAAGGCTAGGGTAAATTTTTTGTACCTGGGATAGATTTTTTTGGTTAGGCTACACTGTTAAGGCTAGGGTATTAATAAACCCACTTTCCTATTCTGATCCATGTCTTCCGGGCCAAAACACTTGAGGTTTCGCTTTTGCTACGCCGCCGGCGACACTGTTCTTCTTCCGCCCCCCCCACTTATGACAGTTTTCGATTCAATTTTGCCGTATTCGAATTTGTCCAATTTCATTTGCGCGTCCGATTTGGGGCCAAAATAAAAGGCGTAGCCGAAGATTGGAGATTGTTAGCCAGAGGAAAGGAAATCAACGGATTTGTGGCGGGGTAAATGTTACTTTTGGGGGTGGGATGGGATGTTGTTACACATTTTTTGGAAAGCGAGAAAGACAAATTCTCGGTAGCTCTTATGCTAATTCTACCTGCTCTTCTTTTTTGCTATGTCTGTTGGAGAGGGTGCTTATGAAAATATTTTTTTTGCGAAGTCGGGGGATGAGTTAGAGACTAGGGTAAGGCTATATTTTGGTTACGGTAAGCCTACATTAAGGGTACGGTACTTGTATCATGTTATAGTGCAGGGTAGGGTAGGTATATGTGTTTCGTACAGTAGAGTAAGTTACAGAAAGGTAAAGTAGAGTAGAGTGGGATAGCCTATGTTAATGTTATTGACAGTATAATCTGTTACTTGTCTTCACTACACTGTAAATTAAAACCCTGTTCTTACTTAATTTCTCCCTGACTGATCCGAACCCCTCTGATGTAAATTTATTTTCCATCTCGAAACCCTCAAATTATTTGTTTTCCGCCTCGAACCCGGGACAAAAACTGGATGTGGGCGTGGCTGAAGGCGGATATTCTAATTTTTCAGGCGCAAATTTTTTGTCCAAGAGTGGTCATTTTGCGTGAAAGCCAAAAATATCATTTTTTGCCGCAGGGGATGCGTGAGGATGGGGTTTGAGGAAGTGCCTTCGGAAGTGGCAAAAAATAAGGGCGGGTGCAAGAAATGGGCATAGGGTCATATATTATGGTTGGGATATAATGACAATAAAGGAGGGGTAAATGATGAAAATTGGGAAGTGTAAAACATGGCAATGTGGAAGGGGTAAAAGATGACAGTAAGGGAGGAGGTACAATATGACATTTCGGGAGGGCTAAATGGTAAAAATAAAGGAGGGGTAAAGAAAAAATAGTGATGTGGACATGGGGTGGACCGTAAGCACAGTAGAACATACGTTCTGTTAAAGGCATAAATGGGGTTTATAGAGGGGGGGGCAGAGACGTCTCAGAGAGGACGAGGTGAATTGAAGAGGGGCGTTTTTCTTAATTCCTCTATTACCACCTCCTTCTTTCCTCTCCTCTGCCACAAAAAAAATCTGTAGCGACTTCCCTGAGGGTGAGGAGGATCAAAAACGTAGTGATAGGAAAGGCTATAACAACTAAAAGGAATACTCTCTACGTCTGTAGGCTAAATGTGGTATTGGTAAAGGCTTTAATTAGGAAAAGAGTGAGAGATTTCAAAATTTTAAGTATACTGAAATGATACTTACTTTGCTTTTGAAATTTTACTGCGGGAGTGCCATATTTTGAATTTGATAGGTGATGACTAATGTAAAATACGCTTACTTTATCTTTTTTTGGTATAATGAATCATTTGAAACTTAAAAGTAAATTTTTAAAAAAAATTAAAATTTATTTTGAGGTGTAAAGTTTTTGAGATTTTAAATGTATACCATGGCATGATATAAAAAATGTAAAAAATTGTTATGATAAGAAACTCTTATTTTTCAGTCATTTTTTTGACCGGAAATTGAACCCGGAAGGGTCATTTGGCCTTTTGAAACGTTACTTTTGCGAATATGCAAATATGAAAAAGTAAAAAATGCAATTTTCTTTGGCCACTCCGACTTGCTTGAGCTGTTTTTTTTTTAAAAGTATTTTTTAAACTAAGGTTTTAAGTTTAACTAATATTTTTTATCTGTAAAAAAAGATTTTTTTTTGTAAAATACGGTTTGATTTTTTGTAAAATACGGTTTTTGTAAAATACGGTTTGAAAAAAACACTGATTTTGTCTACTGACCGCATTGTAGTCATTACTTGTTGACCGTTTCTGTTTATTGTTCCGGAAGATTATTTGTGAAAGTCGAGCGATTGCGTACAAACGATTTGCTGTGGATTTCACTAATCGTTGTTTTTTACAAAAAAACTACTTTTTGGAACTTTATGAACATTAAAAACGACTAGCTGTTTTTTTTATTTTTCAAATTTTTTAAAAATTAATGAAGGTGGGGCAAATCTAAATTATGGTTTTAGTGGGTTTATATTGAAATCCCAAGCCATAGCCAAGGTGGGTAAGACTAATGTTTTTTGTTTTTTGTGTTGAAAGGGGAGGTTGTTGAAAAGATAGGCTTCTTTTGGTAGTACAGACAGGTTAATGAAGGGTAGGTTTGAGTAGGATTGGGTGAGTAGGGTAGGGTAGGGTAGGGTAGGGTAGGGTTGGGTAGGGTAGTGTAGGGTAGAGTAGGGTAGGGTAGGGTAGGGTAGGGTAGGGTAGGGTAGGGTAGGGTAGGGTAGGGTAGGGTAGGGTAGGGAAGGGTAGGGTAGGGTTGGGTTGGGTAGGGTAGGGTAGGGTTGGGTTGGGTAGGGTAGGGTAGTGTAGGGTAGAGTAGGGTAGGGTATGGTAGGATAGGGTAGGGTAGGGCATTTTGAGTTTCTAAATATTTACAAAATTTTAATTAAGTTTTAAAAAATGTTACGTGTTCCACCAATCTCTACTCCACCAAAAACCATCTAAAAATTTGTAATTTCAGAAGTGGGAAAATATTCGAATATCAAGAGCCATACCCAAAAGTGGCGTTTGGATGAATGCCGCGGCTCTCGAGCGCATCGCAACTCGCTTCGGCCCCACTTCAGGTCCCAACCTCGAACACCTGTCACGCTAGGCATGGTAAGTCGTGGGAAGGCTTCGGGGCAATAATTTTAAAGGTTTTGCATGTTGGCAAACATTGTTCGTGGAACGAGGGGGTTTGGTGCGGTAAAAGTGAAATTTTTAGAGAGAGGGGGAGATTTTTCAGGTGGGGAAAGGAAGGCTGTTTTTTAGAGAAGGAGTCTTTGTAAAAGTATTTTTTAGGAAGGAGGGGGGGTAGTTTTTTTGAATTTAAAGGCTGTTTTTTTTGGAGAAGGGGGCAGTTCTTAAAGTGGAGTTTATATTTTAAGATTAAGGAGTAAGTTTTGGGACAAAAGTATATTATCAAAGTAAGGTGGGCTTTTTCTTATTTAGGTAACATAAGGTTTTTTTAGGGGTAAAAACAGGGTGATATATAGCCTATGACATGGGGTCATGGCTTTTTCTGGTTTGGGTAGGGCAAGCATATGAAAAGGGAAGGGTAGGGCAAGGCTAAGCCGAAGCTAGTGCAATTTTATGCATGCCTGGACCGATATTTAGGCTTGGCCGTGACTTATGTTTAAGACAAGTTATTTTAGAAGGTATTTAAGATACAATGACAACACATTTTTACTTTATTTTCAGAAAAAGATGACAAAACGATAGAAAGCAATAGCCAAACCTTCAAAATGGTGAAATCTCTACTATTTTCTTTAAAATTCTACCGGTATTTTCTTGCAACTTCCACTAAACTACCTTTATATCTACCCCTTCTACTCTTCTTCCAACTCATACTTCAAACCAACTCAATACAAGCCCACCAAATCTACCCAGAAGTCGAGGAAAACTTTGTATGTCAACCATGTTCTCATCCACTAAATGGCATCGTACTCAAGTTGTCTCAAAATCATGCACCGTGCATTCACCCTGGCCAGCCACTTTTCAAATGGCCAAGTTCGGCGAAATGCTCAATACCGGTCGATTTCTACAGTGATGACATTAGTTTTGACAACGAAAAGCTGATGGTGTTCTCAAAGAGAAGGATTTGCTTTTTTTTCTGGCGAATGGACATTGTCGTATAGGTTCAGGTGCGAACTGGATGAAGACGCTGCTTGGCAGTGGAGTCAGATCAGGATCGGGCATGAGGTGGGGGTGGTTTTTGATTTTTGGGATGATAGGGGCTGGAAATGAAAAAAATCAAAATTTTTTTTTGAATTTTAAAATTTGAAATTTTTTTAAAATTAAAATCTTTGAAAAAAAAATTTAAAATTTAAATTTTTTTTTAATTTCAAATTAAAAAAAATTTTTTGAAAATTTTGAAATTTAAAAAAATATCATTTTAGCGCTTCAACCTTCAACGCAGAGTAAAGCGCTCCTGGCTGAAACGTCGGAACCCGAAGCATTCTCCAATCCATTTCCAACAAGATCGATATGTAGCTGAGATTCCAGAGGATATTGAGATCAGATCCACTGTACTTAAGGTTCACGCTACTCATGCCAACAACCAACCTTTATATTACACATTATCAGCGCCGGAAGATCAACGATCAGCTGATTTGTTCGCTCTTGACACTGTTACTGGTAAAAGTTTTGCTTGTTTTGTTAATTTATGTTGGACATCATAAAATATTATTTTGTTCAAATACTTCTGTGCTCCTTAACTTTTAAAAGTTGCTTTGAGAAAGGGGCTCAGAATTACTTGAACAACTTAGTATAATAGTTATTAAAAGTCTTTTTATGGCAAGGTATTGCTGATTTTGAACTTTTTGTTACCTAAAACAAAGTTTATTCTATAAAATATTACACAAAACCACGTTTTTTTCCAATATATTACCTAAAATCACCCTTTTTTCAAAAAAAAAATATTACCCAAAATTTAATTTTCAGGAGAAATCAGAGTAGCCAAGAAGCTGGACAGAGAAACTCTGGCACGGCACGTTCTTAAACTAAGCGCCTACGAACGTTTAGACCCACAAGTCACGGCGACAACAACAGTAGTGGTCGATCTTATTGATGTACAAGATAACAAGCCCATCTTCGAGAAACAAAATTATTATGCTGATATCAGGGAAGACGCTTCGGTATGTTAACCATGCTTAACAAAATATTATTTTTGAGCATATTTGTTTACTTTTTATTTGGTTGAGACATTTGGCCGCTTTTGAGGTTTGGCGATCTGCGTCCAATGAAAGCGCAGGCTGCAGGACAAGATTTTGGGATTTCTTGCTTGATAATGGTATAGAATGATAGTTTTGTTATAGAAATGATAATATTTGTGATTTTTTTTGACAAGGTCTATGATTTTTAATACCTACATGCTACTAAAAATTGTATTTTTATAAATTTCACCGACAAAAAAAATAAAAAAACCTTGTTTCAGATAGGAACAACGGTTATATCAGTCTTCGCTCGAGACCTAGATGCCGGCCAAAATGGTGAAATCACGTACACACTTACCGGAGACGAACAATACCTAAAACTCTTCTCAATCAACCCAAACAGTGGAGTAATTCAAACAATATCCGAGTTGGATCGTGAAAAGGTATCATCAGTCAGAATGAAGGCTGTAGCTATGGATCACGGAGAGCCATCGTTCCAGTCCGAAGCCAATTTGGAGATCAACATCTTGGATGTGAATGACAACTCACCTGTCTTTGAAAAAGATTCATACAACGTCACTATCAACGAAAACGTCACCACACCCACAGTAATATTGAAGATCTCGGCTACAGACTCGGATTCTGGAGTGAACGGGGAAGTTCACTACAGTATAGTGACTTCATCTTCTGTAGGATTGTTTTCATTGGATTATGATTCAGGTGATTTGACGCTACGATCCGCTCCAGATCCACGACAAACACCGTACTCTTTGTTGGTGCGAGCCAAAGATGGTGGACAGCCGGCAATGAGTACCACGGTTCATGTCACAGTGAATATTGTGGATGTGAACGATCATGCGCCGACGTTTTTGGGTGCTACAATGCATGAAATCAACGTGGAAGAGAATCTACCGGCCGGTCGAGAGCTTGGTCGATTATTTGCCATGGACGAAGATTCTGGAAGGAACGGTGAAGTCAGATATTATCTACAGTCGGAGGAACAACCATTAGATCGAAAGGTATTGGAAAATGAGTCTTCAGCTTCTGATTCTTCATCAGCTACAGATTCTACTTTAAAACCTTCAGAAGCTTTTACGATAGACGAGCTCACTGGCGCTCTGAAGACCAATACTGTGTTAGACAGAGAAGTGAAAGACCGATATCAGTACAAAGTGATAGCCAAAGACCTAGGCGACCCACCCCTTCAAACCTCGATCCAACTGTCCATCACCGTGATCGATGTCAATGATAATGCACCCAAGTTTGAGAAGCCAGAGTATATTCTGAATCTGAGTGAGAATTCACCGAAAGGAACTCAGATTCTGGATCTACGGGCTACAGATGCGGACGCTGATCAACAGTTGAGCTACAGGATTGAAAGTAGTGATAAGCCTTTGTTTGCGCTGATTTCGATGGGAAGTGATCAAGGTACTGTGTTGTCTTTGACTCAGAATTTCTCGCCATTGGATGACAAGATCAATCTGGTGGTGTCAGCTACTGATCAAGGAGGATTGAAGGTAATTTAATTTTAAAATTTGAAGTTTGTGAAATTTTAAAATTTGTCAAAATTTCATTTTTCTCAAGCTTTGTTTTTATTAGTTTAAAAAAAGTATTGGCGTTTTTTAACATATGAATACGTAGAGTTTGACGACAAGACTTTTCTAAAGTTTTCAAATTAAATTTTTGATTTTAAAATTCATTTTAAGGGCTACACAAACGTGACAATCATGATAAACGACGAGAACAGTGCTCCTGTGTTTGTTGATGTACCAGTCAGTGTAAAAGTGTCAGAATCAGCCCAAGTTGGATCGCCAGTAGTTCAAATCAAAGCTAAAGACAATGACAGAGGAATCAACGCTGAGCTACTGTTTTCCGTAGATTCTGACGAGTTTTTGTAGGTTTTTTTGAATTTTTTGACATAAAAAATAAAAGTATTAATGGTCAAAGAAGTCACGGCGCTTTTAAAAGTTGTTTTGAACGTTAAAAAGCGACAATACTTTTCTGAAGCTTTATATGTTGCCAGTTTGAAGCCTATGTCATTAAAACTCGATTCAAAATGACTTTTTTTTAGAATTGACAATCACACAGGCCTAATAACCTTGGCCAAAGAGCTGGATCGAGAAACTAAAGCTGCCTATTCACTGACAATCACAGTAACTGATAACGGGGTTCCAGCCATGAGTGCAGCTACTATTCTAGAGGTTTTTGTTGAGGATGGTGAGTTTTTTAAACTTTTTTCAAAAAGGCTTGTAAAACATCGTAAGGTCTCAAAAAAGCTTTCGGGCGGGCATTAGAAGTACGTTTTACAATATTGGCAATATTTTCAAAAAATTTAAATTAAAGTTATACATAGAAAAAGCTATTTGTTAAACGTTTATAAGCGCAATAAGAGTAGAAAGGCGTATTTTACAAAAAAAAATTTTTCATCAAAAAACCTTAATTTTGGGTAGCCCCGAATAAAGCTAGCCGCCCTTTCTCCCTTTTGTACCTATTGTATTAATACGCGGCAAAAAATGAAAAAAGAAATTTATGACCGGAACGAATTAGGGGTCATCTAATTCCAACATATTGTATTTGCTTTTATATTAGACCAATAAGCTATAATTTGAAATTACTCTACCATTCCTTACTGTGTCCTACCTTATCCTACTTTACTTTACCACACCCTACCCTACCCTACCCTACCCTACCCTACCCTACCCTACCCTACCCTACCCTACTCTACTCTACCCTAACCTACCCTACCCTATCCTACCCTGCCCTAACCTACCCTACCCTATCATACCCTACCCTATCCTAAACTACCCTACCTTATCTTAAACTACCCTACCTTATCTTTTGGTTTACTCTACTCTACCCTACCTTACTTTGCGCTGCTCATTTTTTGTTCTGCCCTTTTCTTTCCTATTCTGCCTTGCCCTACCCTACTGTTTCATTGCAGGAATGTCGTATTTACAGTTCTTTGCCTCTTTCAAAAAATGTCAGAAGATTACGTACTTGTAAACAAAGTTTCTTCATTTTCTTTTATATAATCTATGTCTTACTGTTTTTAAGCTTAATCTTTTGATCATTTCACCAAATTTTTGAAAATTTTACTTTCCCAAGCTTCCAACTTGTTAATGACCGGAAGATATTCATAATTTTTTTCACGCAAAAAAAAACGCCAAGATGAATTGACTGGCGGTTGAAAATGGCCCAATTTGGATGCGAGAAATTTTTTGTTTTAAAAAATGGAATTGAGCGAGCGTAAAGGGCCGAATGAATGGCCAAATGGGCCCTACAATGAGCGCATTTGACCGGCCTTAAAAGGCTATTCATCGCCAGTTTTTTTGGAAATTGCAAAAAAGATAATGAGCTCATTGAAATGGGGAAAAGAGTGGAAAAAAAGTTTTTACACAAAAGAAAAATTTTTTAATCAATAATTTTAATCAATAAGTACGTGGAGAACCCTAAGTTTTTGATCAGATCGATATGTCTGCTGTATAGCATTAAGAAGGAATGATCGGTAAGATAAAGTAGGGTAAGGCAGGGTAAAGTAAAACAGGGCAAGGTAGTGTAATGTAGGGTAGGGTAGAGAAAGGTAGGGTAGGGTACGGCATGGTAGAACATTGTTAGGTAGGATTTGGAAACGTCGATAGGATAGTTTAGACCATAGTATTACGTTTTCCTAGTTTCCATAAAAATTATTTTCTTACTGTACTTTTTCCTACCCCCGAACGTCTTTCACAGTCGCACAACAAATTGGGAACATACGGCGCGGTTGAATTAATATTCAAATCCGCATTATTGCTTCCGTTTTGTTTTTCTTGGCACTTCAATTAGGACAAGGGGTTCTAATTAGGCCAAATTAAATTTTTGTCCACAATATGTCATCAAAACTGGTGGGATTATATTAGTTTTGTACAAAAATATGAATATCGTGAGGTTTGTTTATTGTTTGTTACCTAAAATAAGATAAAAATCATCCTTGGTATATGTTAAAGAAGTCTTGACGTGTTTCTGTGTAGAAAACAATGTACTTTGACGACAAGACTTTTTGGAATGTTTAATAACCGTTTTGCCAGTATTTTAGGTAACACTTTTTAGTAGTTTAGGTAACAAGAGAGCAAAAAATCAACTTTTTATTAAAGAATAGTAACTTCTTTGTCATGTCCAAACCCCCTCCATCATATAATATTATCCATCATGCCTCGAAACCCCCCTAATATTTACGAATTCAAACCCAAACAGTATAACATTTCCTATTGAATTTGGCGCGCGCAACGCACGTCTTTAAACAAAGTGTATTTGCCATGTAATGAATGGAAAACATGAAATATCATGAGATAATTACGACCGGAAATTTGCATGAAATGCAAGATATATTACACATGACAGAACATACGATACTATACTTGAAAAGTTTGATTGAGGACGGAATACTGTAGAATTTTGGTTTTTAATTGCAATATGTGAGCAGGCTCTACCCTAATAGACCCTACCTTAAACTCTACGTTATCTTTCTCTACCGTTCTCTACTCTACCATACCTTATCCTACCCTGCCCTAAGCTACCTTACCCTATTATACCCTACCTTACTCAACCCTACCATACTTTACGCTAGCATAACGCATAACTTACACTTTCCTACCCTACTTTATCTTAACATCTTTACTATACCCTACCTTCCGATATCGTATCTTATCCTACCTTTCACTACAATACCCAACCCTACTTTACCCCTCCCACAAAATTTTTTTTTAATTGAGTAAAATACGAACGTGATAAAAAATTCTTTAATTTAAATAATTTTTAATTTCAATGTTTAAATTTCAATAATGGCATATTTTGTGACTTCTTTAATCAAGTGCTCGTCCCTAAGGACACAAGTGCGCAGATAATTTCAAAGCTCATTTAAACGCAAATCTGCGCCTTTTTTGTGTCGCGTTGTGCCATCTGAATCCATGGAAAAATTAATTTCAAAATTGGGATTTGTAAAATACGACAACTCGCTCTGAAAAGTCTAAAAATGAAAAATTAAAAAAAATTTTTTGAAAAATTAAAGTTTGCAAAATTTTGTAAAATACGTTATAGACCATCGTATCCTGCACCAGTGAGAAGGAATTTAAAAATAAAAGATATAAAAAATCAAAAAAAGGTATGGCAAAATGATCGTTTTCAAAAAAAAAAAAATTTATGTAACAAATCAAGTTCGTAATGCAATATTAAAAAACATAGTACAATTGTCATCAAATCCGCCATGGCATTAGTCATATTTTTCATTACTCATCTGTCACTCAAAGAATGCACCCGAAACATTTCGTTGATGCCCTTTGGGCATAAAAAAACTAATTTGCATACAAAGTGAAAATGCGAAACGTTGAATGCCGGAAGATAAAAATATTGAGGTTTTTAGGCTTAATATTATAAAAATTATTTAAATTTGCATTATGTGAACAGACCCCGCCTTAATATACAGTTACCTTGCCCTACCCTACCTTATCGTATCATTACCTACCCTACCTTAATCTACCATATCGTACCCTACCATATTCTACCATACCCTACATTACTCCACCACATCCTAATCCACCCTATCTATAATAAAAATTTTTCCTCCTGCCCTGCCCTTTAATAACATAATAAAATGTCTGGGTATGGTAGGACTGTAAATATGTATACATTATAAGCCAAAATGGAAAAATAACTTAAAAACTGCATTTTCAGTAAACGACAACGCCCCTCGCTTCCTCCTAACCGAATACCATGCCCGTATCAAAGAAGACATGCCAGTGGGTACCAGTTTCCTTCAAGTCCAAGCTCTCGACCCAGATGAAGGCCAAAACGGCGTAGTCGACTATTTTCTCAACGAAACTGATGAATTTGTGAAGCTGGACGCCTTCAGACTCGACCGAACCTCAGGCCTCCTCAGAATCCACAAGAATCTTGACCGTGAATCGACCGAAAAGTTCATTTTACCAGTCATAGCTCAAGACCGCGGTAATCCACAACAAATCTCATATGCTACAGTGACCGTGGAGTTGGAGGATGTGAATGACAATGCACCTCAATTTGAGAAGGCATCTTACAGTTTGTGGATCGCTGAAAATAGTCCTATTGGTACAGTTGTGGGCACATTGGTGGCTACAGATGCTGATGTTGGAGCTAATGCGCATATCGACTTCAAAATTTTTGGCGGTTCTGATGCCAAATTGTTTGAAATTGAAACAGATGACAAGCAGAATGGAGTGGTTAGGATCAGATCAAGGGCCGAATTTGATTATGAAGCCAAGAATAACAAGTTTTATGTCGAATTACAGGCTTCTAGGTAAGGAAATATAAAAAAATTGTTAACCACTCCCTTTTCAAAAAATATTACCCTGCCTAAATAATAAATAACGGATAAATTATCCACAAACCCCCCAAACCACCAAAAAACAACAAAAACGCATAATTTTTAAAAACTGAACCCGTTTCACCTAATTAGACGAAATGTAAAACTTTGTGGCGTTTCGTTGACTTATTATCGAAAATTTTGAATTTCACAATATTTGACTTTCTTTGGTTGTAAAATGAGTAAAATACGTTTCTTCGTTACAATATTGTGCACTTCAGCGGCCAATTGAGTTCAACAGTCCCAATAACGATCCACGTGAGCGATGTGAACGACAACAAACCTCAACTCAACGATTTTGTCGTTCTGATCGCTCATTTCCAGGACGAAACCTTTGAAAATGTGAATGTTGGGAACGTTCCTGCTTTGTATGTTTATTTCCCTTTGATTTTCTTATTGTGTATTAAAATTTTGAGGCTTTAAACTAATTTTAAACTTTAATATTTCAAGTTTTCCGATGTTGTTTTAGATTTTACTTGATTTTTTGAGTATTTTGAAGGTTTTTAGGTATCAAACAAGTTTATGTCGAATGAAAATTGATTATATTTGGTGTATTTTTAGTTAGAAAGAAAGAAACTCGTCAAAGTTTGCTATTTTAACGATTTATATTGTTTTAGTGACCCAGATCAAAACGCGACTCTTGAATACTACCTTGAGCCAAATCAGCTACTGGAAGTTGAATCTTTTACCGGGGCTTTGAGGTTAAAAGGACAATGGAAAAGGCAATTGGATGCTGAGAACAAGGCTTGTGTGTCAGGTATGAACTTTTATTATGTTTTTGTTTTTGGGTGACAAGTTAAAAGCAGTTAACCTTGATCTTTCTGTGGATTTTTAAAAATTAAAGTGTAAAATACGTGTTGCGCTGATAATTGATCTAAATAAGGTTGTTCTGTTTGGTAACTAGAGTTTAAACTCAAAGAACTTGCTTTTAATTACCTAAATTTCTATTAAAAAATTATTTAGATGGTCCAAACACGGTGTGTGCCACAGCACGAATCATTTACGTAGCTGTAGATGAGGAATCTCTTCGAAATTCGGTTTCTTTGGAGATAATGGGCATGAATAGAGATACTTTTTTGGAATCGACAACTTTCGAACGGTTTATTGGATCAATCACAGCGTTGGATCCGGGCTGGTTACCTGAAGATGTTAGAGTTTTTGGAGTTGAAAGTGTTCAAAGCAATGGCAAAATGAGACTAAACGTTAGTCTGTTTGTTAGTCAAGATGAAATGGCAGTAAAGTAAGTTTTTGATTGATTTTTTGTGAATTTTAGGCTTGGTTTTGAGGCGTATCTACTGTTTTTTAGTTGTTTTAGGCGTGATTTTGCTAATTTTTAATGATTTTTGGTAAATCAATGCCATTTTTCAATATTTTAAGCAGACGTTTTGCCATTTTTTAAAACTTCATACCTAAATCTAGCCAAAATACATGACCAAACCTATAGTTTGAGGATTAAGAAGTCGGGGGTACTAAATTACAGGCTTCTAAAAGTGCGTTGTTGCGTAAGAAATGGGCTCAAGAGAGTGTTATTTGAAGAGGGAGGGATAAGTGCGCGAAATTGATGGGACAGATGATGGATTAGGCCATAATGTAATTAAAATACGGTTGTTTGACTGTAGCACTTGGGTCATTACAGGAAATTTGCATAATTTTTGAGAGGAATTAGGATTAATGGCAAGAACATGAAGTTTGTTACCTAAACATGAAGAAAACGTTGAAAATGGCAAAAAATTGAAAAAAACTATCATTTATTACTTAAAATTAAAAATATGTTACCTAAGATAGATAAAGATAAAAGACAATGAACGAAAAATGACATAAACTGAAAAATTTTACCTAAAAATTAAAATTTTAAAAAATTTACTGAAGAAACTTTCTTTACAGCCCGCACCGAATCGAATCAGCCGACCAAACCGCATTAAGTGCCAGGTTTGATAATCAAATAAGAATTCTTAAAGATGACATGTGTGTCAACGAACCATGCCCATACTATCAACAATGTCGTCGGACTCTAAAATACGACAAAAGTCAACCAGCGCTGGCGTTTGAAACGGACAACTTTTTGTTCAGAAGTTTGGCTACAATAAGATCTTTCAAATGCGAATGCCCTCAAGGGTTTACTAGTAGGTTTTTGTTAATAATTTTGTAAAATACGGCCTGGCGAAGTAGGTTTTTAGATTTATATAAAATTTTTGAATTTTGAATATTTCAAAAATTTGAGCACATTAGTATAATAAGTAGATAAAACTCAACAAACACGAAGTAATTTTAAACAAAAAATGTTAAAGGTAAAACACGTTTTTTTTTGCTTCATAGTTTTTAATTTATGCTTTATTTAGCTAGTCCAACAAAGCCAGGAATCTGCAATGATCGTCTGGATTTGTGTTATAGTAATCCATGTATGAATAATGGCACTTGTGTAGCTTTGGAGACTTCATACAAGTGTATTTGTCTATCAGGCAGAATTGGTGGGTTTTTTTAATTTTTAGGCCAAATATTTTTTTTTCATTTTTAGGTAACAAAATTGGTTTTTTAGTTTAAATTTTTACTTTATTGATTTTTATAGTGAAATTTTGATTTATATGCTTTTTTTGTTTAAAACAGAAAAAATTCAATTTTAGGTAACAACTGTGAGCTCTCGGAAAAAGTCGACACATGCCTGCCAAACTACTGCCATTCTGGCGCTCAATGTGAACGAACTCCAACCCGTGAACAGCAATGTCTTCACTGCCCCTACACACCATTAGAAGCCGACTCCAGATGTCGGCTACGTTCAGTCTCATTCAACGGCGATGGTTATATTGCAGTACCTCACGAAATACCCCGCCTCGACTTTGAATTGGAACTAACATTTGCTACAACATCCCTAAACAGTGTGTTACTGTATGCATCACATAGTGCTGAGAATCTGGATGGGCAGGGTGATATGCTGGAGTTGATTGTACAGGGCGTACCACGTTTAAGGGCATCGTTGGGAGGGAGCTCGGTGGTGGAGTTGGGGCTGCCTGATTGGAAGGAAAATAGAGTCAGCGATGGGGAATGGCATACCGTGCATGTTAGCTATCGGAATTTGGTGAGGTTTTGAGAGATTTGTTTTTAATTTTAGGTGTTACTCACTAGGAAGGTTTCCTGTCTGTCTAGCCTACTTTTTTTTACTTCAAACTTTATATAGAAAGATCATGTAAAGCAAAGATCTTTAGGAATTCAAAAGAGGATTTTTCAATATTTTTAGGTAACAAATTAATTAAACCTTTCCAGACTTTCCGCCTCTGGCTAGACGACTGTGACCCAGAGCTAGCCCTAAAGCACGCTGATCAAGTTGGCTACAAAAAGTGTGCCACAGAAGCCAAAATCAGCCTTCCAGCTCGATGCTCAGACTTGGCTGTACCTTGTCATCGCTTCCTAGATCTTAGCAGCTCACTGTACCTTGGCGCACAGCCAAAGCACGTTGAGAACGGGTTTGTCGGATGCTTAAAAGACTTCAAAATCGACCAGAAACTCATTCATTTCTCTGATTTTGACCGTCTCGAAAAGGTCGGTGATGTTCAAGCCGGATGTCGCAGATTCAGACAAGACCACTGTGCTTTACAAAAGGCATTATTATCAACTGGTCGAGAGCAGGAGATCAATATTCACGTAGAGAAGGGCATCATGGATGAGCCATGTCATCCGACTGCCAAATGTATCGACCAATGGGATGGTCGAGTGTGTAAATGTCCTCACAGGGTACATTCACATCGTTCATGCGCGATGGAAACGGCCCACAGTGTGAATTTGCAAAGTGAAGAGAGTTTCGTATTGTGGAGACTACCGGAGGTGCCCAAGAATAGTGTACTGTACTTTGAATTCAGGACGAGAGAGAAGAAGACGCAGGTTATGGTACTGGAGTTCGAAATGAAAAGCGATTTGTTCACTTTTGCGGTGAGTTTTGAGGATTTTCGGGTTATAAACGGCATTCAGATACCAATACTAAAAGAAGGTCTTTGAAATTTAGAAAAAACAAATTTTATTTTTCAGGCTAAAGATATTTTAAGGCATATAATTAGGTATAAAGTTAACTAAAAATCTATTTTCAGCTAGAAAACGGCCACGGCTCAATAAGATATGGTCAAGAACAGTTCTTCCTCTCTTACCCAGACCTCTCTGATGGTGAATGGCATTCAGTTCGGATGGATTTCGAATCCGACACATTAATTGTGGATCATATTCACACAAGAAACCTCAAATCAACCCTAAAGGCATCGACAACATTAGTAAAAACCCAATACCTATATTCAGGTAACGCCCCATCAATGGCATATCCACAAGAGTACCTCGGCTGCCTCCGGAACGTTGAGTTTGGAAGTGTGAAGCTAAAACCTCAAGAACAGTCGAAAACGAAGCCAGGATGTAGTCCAACCACAAATCCTTGCACTCAACATGGCAATATTTGCCCTCCGGCATCAACCTGCCAAAAACAATGGGACCGACATCAATGTCAATGTAGTCAAGGTCATGTTGGAGATGCCTGTCTGGATATATGCAGTATTCCTAACATTTGTAATCAAGGTTTGTGTATAAGGAACAATGCCACTAAGCGAGGCTATGAATGTGCATGCCCTGAGGGCAAAACCGGTGAAAATTGCGAAAATGAAGCATTGGAACAGGTATGTCCTCCAGGATGGTTTGGAGTATTCGGAAGTTGTCGTAAGTGCGAATGCAGAGCTGATAGAGGCTTTCTACAACAATGTGACGAAAATAATGGACAGTGCAAATGTCGACCTGGGTTCTTTAGAATGGTAAGTTGTAGTAGGGAAAGATGTGGAGGGAGGGGGACTTTGGTGTGGACGGGGGAGGAAATTTAAGGAAAAATTGTTAAAACCTATCTTCACTTTGATTTCAGGGAGACCGCTGCACACCATGTGAATGTGGCTACGGAGCAGAAAGTTCAAGTTGTCATCCCGAAACTGGCCAATGTCAATGTGCAGGAGAAGCCTCTGGCCGAAGATGTGATCGATGTCCGCTGAAAAACAGAAGACCACAATTACTCGACCGCAAAACCCTAAAATGCCAATTGACCAAAGATCGATGTCCAGCTGAAATCCAACAAGGAATTCAATGGCAGACGACAGTAAGAGGTGTAGTGGCTCGCCAGTCTTGTCCTTATGGTCATATGGGTATAGCTACAAGGCTGTGTAGAGCTAACGGCGAATGGGCTTCGGCAAAGACTTACAATTGCACTTCTACTGTGTTGTTTGAACTCAGTGAAAGAATCAACAACTTGAATATGGATTCAAACTTTATGGGTAGTGGTAATACGGCCTATGGTAATATGGGTGATGCTTCTTCAATTTATAATAGCCAAACTAGCAATTCAGCCTATGTTAATGTAGCCAACATGGCCAATTTTGATGTGTTAGAAGTGGCCAGAACCTTGGAAAACATCACCTTATGGGAAACCAACTTTGCAACTGGTCGAAACCTGGATCTAGCTATTGGAATCTTATCAACCATGATCAGAAAAGTAGAAGCCACTAAGGCTCACACAGTCGATCATCAATTCACAAGAATTGTACTGAAGATTGCTGATCAACTACTGGACTACAAGCTGAATGCAGTTCAATTCTTGGCTGTTTTGTCTAAGCTGTACGACTTTGGTACCAGTTTGTCCAAACTTCACGCCGAAATGCCCTTCTTAAGACCATTTTTCTATCGAGGAGAAGAGTTTGTATTCGCTGTTGACATGGTTAATGACAAAAGTAGACCGGTTCAGCTGCCAAAAGTTAATGGAATTTTGAGTTCGAGGAGTTATGGAGTAGTTGAAGGTACTACAATATACGACAGAAGCCGTAGGGATGTTGAGAATGATGAAATTGATAAGAAAGGTCATGGAAAAGGTTCTGCTGATCCTAAAGCAGAAGGTTTTGCTGACTCCAAGGGCTCACGATCTCCCAGAAGTTCAGGATTCAACTACAATAACAGAAATGACTTTAAACAAACTTTTGTTACAGTACCAGCCCAAAACGCGGCCGTATTTTACAGTTTTGTGAGACCACAATGTAAAAACTGTGGCAATGGTAACATCGTTCTGTTGAAGACAACACCATTGGACGTGAAGAACAGCTACTACGACGGAATGATACAGCTGACCTTCAGAAGGGACGATGTTAATGTAGATGAGGATTTGAACAGTTTAAAGTATCCGGAATGTGTTCAAGCTGTAGGATTGGAAGGAAAGGTTGTCAGTGAAAGGTATGGCAGAGCAAGTGGTACTGATGGTAATGGAAATGAAGGTTTTCGAGCTAAAAATGGTAATGATGGTACTAATTACAACAATTTGGGTACGATAAATGAAGGCGATCGTACTGAGAACGATTATCATAGTACTAAAGGTATTCGTACAACTGATAACCGTGACGACCAAGAATTCCGCAATCAACCATCACTATACCAAGACAGCTCCTTATCACTGGACTGGGCTTCAACTACAAGTTCCGGCCAACTAATGTCGCTAAACCGTACTCATGCGGTGTGCCGCTTCTCAGTAGACTCATCTAAACCTATCAGTGGCATCTTCACCTTGCTCTCTAAATCCGATCAAAACGCTCTAATTCAATTCACATTGGCCGGAGTTGGACGATTACCGTATACAGCACCGTTATGTGCCGCGTTTGCCTTGTTCTTACTGTTACTGTCAGTTTTGGCCGCCGTATTCAGACGAGACATTGGCCAGAGATTCGTGAAGTTGTTGTTCTTGTTCTCCTTCATTTTCAATGCTGGAGTGTTGTTCTTCTTGCCAAGAATTCAGTTTAACAGCGTGTTTTGTGGATTCAGAACGGCGCTATTGGTGTTCAGCTCAAGTGCTGAGTTTGCATGGCTATTCTTGTTGACATTGCATCTATACAGGATATTGGTGGAGGAAAGAACTACTTCAAAGTAAGGGAGAAAGCTTGGAAATTTGATAAAAAGGTGGTTTCTGGGTTGATTTTTTTGAAAATCTTGGTTGTCAGGGCTGTTTTGACCAATTTTCAGTAAAATAAAACGATTTTTGACTAAAAAAGAGCTGAGAAATGAAAAAATATTTTCAGTTACATCTTCTCCTTCATATTTGGTCTCCTAACACCATGTATCGCATCAACAGTAATATTCTTCGCATCAGATGGTTGTTCACTTCAATTCGGATCAAGAAACTTGTGGCTAATGGCTGCTCCTGTTATATTATTGCTAATGTTAAGCTTCTATGCATTGGCGACCTCATTTATAGTGTCATTCAGCAAACAGTACGATGTTATTGTAGCCAAACATGGGCTGAGGAAAATGCTGGGCAGTCATGTGGTGTTGGTAAGATTTTTTTAAATTTTTTGACTGGTAATGAGGGGGGGGTGGCATACGTTATTTGACATTTATTGAAATTTTTTTGTTTTTCACAGATAATTTTGGAAATTTTGAAATTTTACTGATATTTTAATGTTATAATGGCTGATTTAATGTTATCCTTTTCAGCTAGTACTATGCTCAACTCATGTTGCGGTATCAGTATATTATTTTATCTTCTGGACGCAACACACCTTCTTAATGGAAGGTGTGACTAATGTTGTCCTAGTGTTTGTGGCCATATACATCTTTATTTGGTCCAACTTTTTAGCCAAAACGGTAAGGATAAAAAATTTTTTTATTTTTTATATGTATAAAATCGAATTTTTAATTAAAAGATTGGGCAAGGTTTCATGATGGAAGGTATAACAAAATTTTTTCAGAAATCCTTCAACAGAAAATCAGAATTTTGGCTAGAGCAACATTCGGATCAAAAGGTTGCTCCAGCTGACTTACATCAACGTTATTTGGATCAGCCTGATGCTCATTCGCCATTACTACAGACAAACAGCAATGATTCGAGTGATTACAGTCAAGGCAATCGATATCACGAAGCTGTGAATGATTATATGAGTGATATTGCACCAACCAACGCCACCTACATGCATCATACCCTACAGAGGTCGTTGAAGCTTCAGCAGAGCACGGTAGGTTGGTCAGATGGCTTTAATTTAGGGTTTTGTAAGGATTACTGTAGTTAGTGTTAGTTTGGATACTATAACCGATTACAATAGCAGTTTCTGTAGTTAAAACATCAATATGACAAAATTATTTCAGATTCTGTCGCCAATTCCACCATTCCCCAGACCCCTAGGAGCTCAGCTACAAGATGACATAGACTCGGTTCAATCATCGCCCTACACAACGAGGTCTCCTCTACTCACTCAGCATGGTGAATATGTCAGAACGCCTGAGTATTCTCATCGTGAGGCCAGCAACTTTGGCACGGTACGATCAAGTATAGATAGTCCGGCAAGAAGCCGGCTGGGTTCAGCCATGGACGATGGAAATGACATTTATTATTCATTTACCGGTCGAAGAAAACGGTCAAATCAAACATGCACTACCTTTTCATAGTTTTTTTGAAATTTTGCAGTGTCTAGGAAGTTAATTTATGTATATTAGTATATATGATAGTATATATGTAGCACAAGATAATGCTATTGAATAAATTATTTCGTCTTGAAAACTTATTAAAATTGCTGTAAAGTTTGTTGTCAACAACTGTGTACCTTCTTAGTATCATCTTTATACGTGAAAATTTTGTAATACTTACTGTAATATTATTTACTGCCGAATTGTGTAAATACTGATTTAAATACGGGTCATAATATTGCTTTATCTTTTGTCAGAGATCTCAAATGTCATTTGTGTTTACTTTTAAATTATTTTTTGTGTCTACAGCTGGTTGCTACATTATCTTGAACAAAAATTATATTTTTTGAATAAATTTGAACTTAAATTTACTTTATCTAGTACGTAAACTAGTGTAATTATATTATGGTTTTTACGATAGTTTGAAAATGTAAAAAATATTTTTCAGGAGGTTGACGGTGTTCTGAAATAGACAAAATGAAGGCGAATTAAAAAAAGTGAATGAATTTTGTATAATGGTAGCCAGGGCTGGACGAAAATTTCGTTTCGTGTTTCGCGAAACAAATTTTGTTTCGGAAACGAAACAAAAAAAATATGTCTCAACCCGAAAACCAACAAATGTTAAAAATGTTTGGCATTCTGTTTTATACTGTTGAAAATTGTTTTTATTTTAATTTTAAACATATTTTGGCATAAACAAATGTCGAAATACAATCCCTTTTTTAACGAAGGAGACTGTATAACATGAAAGGCAAAAGTGCGAAACACAACAAATCATTCCTCAACTAGCTCTTTCCGGCACCATTTACAAGGAAAGTGACCGACCTGCCCCGCTCTGATTGACTTCAAACTTTTTATAAAGAAAGATCATGTAAATATAAGGTCTTCAGCAAAGTACTAAATCGCGCTTTCCAGGAAATCTCGAGAAAATCGAGATCAAAAAATGACATTTTGAATTTCCCGCCAACTTGGCATTGTGTTTCAAGCTGGTAACTTTGTCATTTTTTGACTTTTAATTATTTTACTTTGATATACTAGTAAAATACCTTTAAATAAACCTACATTTTTAAATTTGAAAGCGTATCTTGTCTGGAAAGCCAAAAAAAGTGCTTGAAACACAATGCCAAATTTGCCAAATTGGCGGGAAACCCAAATAATTTAAACTCAAAAGCGCGAGCTAAAATTTTTTATGGGTACTATTGGTGGTACAAAGAATTCATATAAAAATTTTGAGCTGATTCTGAGCGGGGCAGGTAGGGTACTTTCCTTGTTAATACATAAACACCCGGACACGTATGGAAAGAAATTGTACTGGACGGGGCACCAGCAAAGAAAGAGCGTAATATTCTGGATAATGTAAGTCTTTCAAAACAAGTAGTTCGGTTTATAGGAAAGATTACATTCTTTTTGTAATAAAGCACATCAAAATTCGACAGCAAGGACTGTTTTGACTGACTATCGAAGAAGCATGACAAGTGAGATGCTTCAGAACTAGTTATTCCTTAAAGGACCAGTTCGCCCATGCAAATATCATTGGCATTCCGTCGCAAAAAGCGTCGAAAATCAGGCAATTTCAATCAAAATCATTTTTCTCAAAAAACGTGAGTGTGTCGGTGTCGAAATGAATTTTCCAACTTGAGACCGACCTGCTCAGCTTTTTTGCAAAAAAAATGAACGTCGAATTTTTGCGACAGAATGCCAATGATATTTGAATAGGCGAACTGGTCCTTTAAGGTTAATACCCATTTACGGCATAAAATTTGATTTTTATGAAGATTTTTAAATAAATTCGTAAATTTTGTTTCGTTTCGTTTCGCGCGAAAATAATTTACTTTCGTTTCGTGTCGCGAAACAATTTTTTTTTGTTTCGCCCAGCCCTGATGGTAGCTTTACCATCATCTACACCGAATAAACAATCCAACTATGTACAAAGAACGAAAATTGCTTAAAACGGAAATTACTCGTTTAACTTAAAATTAAAAAGCTGGAATTTTATATTAATAAAACAAAGAATAAATAAGTTGTTTGATATTGTCGTATTGCCAAAATTTTAAAAATATTTGTATGAAGTACCCTAATTTTAAAAATAATGGTTTTTACGGAAAAAGTGGCGTAACATGAAGTGGTTTTTCTTTATGAAAGAACTTATTAAAAAACTTAGTCGTTGCTTATAAAAGGCCACAACATAAAAAAAATACATTGAAATAAGCTAAAGTAAAACTAAATTATTTATTCCAATTATACTACAGTGGAACTCCTGTATAACGAACTCCTCTATAACGAAACTCCCGTATAACGAACAACTTTTAAATTCCCGTCTACCACTGCACAGTGCATTTAAAACTCTTGTATAACGAAACTCCTTTATAACGAACAAATTTCAAGTCCCCGAGCGATTCGTTATACAGGAGTTCCACTGTATCAGCGTTGTCCAGTAAGGATAACCTATCATATTATTGGGCTCACATGTGCAAAGGTTAAACATCGTTCTGTGCATGCAAAAACTAAACTTTCTACAACTGTTGTTATTCAATGTTTGCAATGACAATTAACTTTTTGACTATTATGTGTTTAACTTTCATTTGATGTCATAACGATGGAAAGTCGTGTTAAACAGCTATGTAATCAAATGTCGAACATATTTAAACGTTTGGCCAGGTCAAAAAGTCACATTGAGGAGTTTCATTGTTAAACTCAAAGCAACATGAGGATGAGGAGCTTTGTTTTTTGGGCAGCCGTTTTTTTCGTCGCAGCTTTTGGTATGTTTTACTGTGGTTTATTGAATGGTATTTACGAGCATAGAACAGTCATTTTACTTAACAATTTCTTTGTTCTAGATTAACATGTTATTATAGGTTTATCAATTCTTTAGATTTATTGATTGCGGATTGACGCATTATTGTTTTTAGCACAGGAGGAGTCTCCAGAAATAGAAGGTGATGTTTTATACATGGATACAACTGAGTCCACTCCAACCACACCTACTACCCCTACAACTCCGACTACGCCCACCACTCCTACGACTCCAACGACGCCGACAACTCCCACCACACCCACGACTCCAACCACTCCTACAACTCCAACCACGCCCACGACTCCAACTACACCAACTACCCCAACGACTCCTACTACCCCCACGACTCCAACTACTCCTACAACCCCAACCACGCCAACCACACCAACCACTCCTACTACTCCAACTACACCCACTACCCCAACCACACCAACTACTCCTACTACACCAACTACACCTACAACTCCAACAACTCCTACTACTCCCACGACTCCAACCACCCCAACTACGCCTACTACCCCAACAACGCCAACAACACCAACTACACCTACGACTCCAACCACCCCAACCACTCCAACTACACCCACGACTCCTACTACACCAACTACCCCCACAACGCCCACTACCCCAACGACCCCTACTACACCTACTACACCAACTACGCCTACCACTCCAACAACCCCAACTACTCCCACTACACCAACTACACCTACAACCCCAACCACGCCCACGACCCCAACGACTCCAACGACGCCTACCACGCCAACTACACCTACGACTCCCACAACTCCTACTACGCCCACGACCCCTACTACACCAACTACTCCCACCACCCCAACCACGCCAACCACTCCAACAACGCCTACTACTCCCACCACACCTACTACCCCTACGACACCCACAACTCCAACTACACCAACGACACCCACAACTCCTACGACCCCAACTACGCCTACAACCCCAACAACTCCCACCACACCTACAACCCCAACTACCCCCACCACACCCACAACACCAACGACTCCAACCACACCGACTACACCTACTACTCCAACAACCCCAACTACTCCTACGACTCCGACAACGCCTACCACGCCAACCACTCCTACAACGCCAACAACTCCAACAACACCAACCACACCAACTACCCCTACCACACCCACTACTCCAACTACACCTACTACTCCAACCACTCCTACAACGCCAACAACTCCAACAACACCAACCACACCAACTACCCCTACCACACCCACTACTCCAACTACACCTACCACGCCAACCACTCCTACAACGCCAACAACTCCAACAACACCAACCACACCAACTACCCCTACCACACCCACTACTCCAACTACACCTACTACTCCAACCACTCCTACGACTCCGACAACACCAACTACCCCTACCACGCCAACCACTCCTACCACACCTACTACGCCTACTACACCAACAACTCCCACTACTCCAACAACACCAACTACTCCAACGACTCCAACAACACCAACTACCCCTACCACACCCACTACTCCAACCACTCCGACAACTCCAACGACTCCAACTACAGCTTCAGGTAAGATCCAAAAAAAATTCTGAATACTTTCTAAATTTTCAGTTATGTGCGTCGATGGAGCCACAAACTGTGCTCAGTTTATCAGCCAATGTTCCACAGCGAAGATGCAAGAGTACTGTAAAAACACTTGTGGACTTTGTGCTTCCACTGCTCCTCCTGTTACTGAAGGTACTGTTTCGGACTACCTCAATATATAGACTGTTTATAACAGACTCAAACTTGATTATTATTGGTACTTTTGTACCACAGTAACAATGATAAGGGAGTGACATGCCCTTGACAAAAATATGTCTTCAATACTGTAATTTCAGCTTGCGATGACGGAGCTACCAACTGTGCTCAATTTATTAGCGAATGTGCTACAGCCAAGATGCAGACCTACTGTAAGAACACTTGTGGACTGTGCGGACAATCTCCAAGCACAGCACCACCATGTGACGACGGAGCCACAAACTGTGCCCAATTCAAGTCACAATGTGGTACCGCCAAGATGCAGGAGTACTGTAAGAACACTTGTGGACTGTGTTAAGTTTCCAAAGGCAGAATTCTTGCAATATTCATAATAAAACGACATGGTTATTTATTTTGAGACTGTTTGTACTGGATACTGTAAATTTGTAAACATAAAAAAATTGAAAACATAGTCAGAGTTTTGTTGGAGCAGATGAACAAACAAATATTGTCAATGTCAAGTTGGGATGATACATGTTTTTTAGGAATTTACAAGTTTGGAACTTTATATTGATGACGTATTGGGTTGGGCGGGTGATTTTGGGTCACTTTCAACATATTTTGTTTTGTTTTGATTTTCAATTACGGTAACTTACAGTAACCTTAAAAAAAGTAGTAAATTCATTTGATTTATCATAGCCAATCACCTATGTCACGGGTTTAATTTTACGTTCTTATAATTCAAAAAAATGTCAAAATTGAAAGTGCGTTTCGTGCTATATAGCACCATGAAGTACGAATCAACAATAAATCACCCTTTAGTTGAAAATTTATCTTTAAGCTTGACTTAATGCGTTTTTCCTTAAAATCCATTAAATTTCCTTCTTTTCTAAAAAAGCGTTTTGGCCTTACTTAGGGCCACTTTAAGCTAGTTAGTGTCTCGAGTGCTCCCCAAAAACGGAAAGAGCTGGGGGAAAGTTGCGCAATGACCCTTTGGCCACACGAAGTGAGATGAAATGCAGATACGAAAAGGCCGGACGAAACAAAACACAATATCAACCAAAAGAGAGCACAGACAACCGCCTGCCCAAACCGAATCTTGTGCGCCGCATTTCGTGGCTCCAAAAGCCTATGCACTGGCTTTTCGTCCCCAAAACTTTGCGGTCGCTTCTTCGTTTCGTGTCGTTTTTCTTTCAAATTCTTCGACATTCCCCGGTCGAATATTGGCATATCATCGGGGCCGCCCGTCGGGTTATAACTCATACTTTGGGAGAACAAAAAACAAACTAGTTTTAAATTTATGTTTGTTGAGTTGTTCTGGACTATGGCCAGTTTTGTGTATGTTAGAAGCGCGTTTGCGGGTTATTTTGGGTTAACAATAAGATGAAAGTTGATTGCAAAGATTAGTAGTGGTTTTTTTAATAAAGATTAGTACTAGTTTTGGCTAGATTGCACTATTTTGGACATCAGTGTAAACAAAACATTAAAAAAAGTTAAACCTTTGATTTTAGACTTACTTTGTCCTTTTGCCATTTTAATTGTTCCTCCTCTCATCAAGATAGCTACAACACAATAAAAATCAATCGTAATAGTATTGTTGAACTTTTTTGACAACAATTTGTTTCTTTTTCTTAATTTAAACGTTGAAAAACGCGCAATTTTTGCGATCGTTGGCCTTCTGTTCCTCTTTTGTAAGAAAAATATTTTTCTCGATCGAAAGTAACCTTTCTCATTGGAAAACTGATTTATAACTTTATAAGTAAGTGTTTTTTTATTATTTGCTTGACTTTTACGAGATTTTGTAACTTTTCCGAAGTTTTATCACTCACCGGAAGTTTGGAGTTTAATTTTTTCATATTTTATATCGAATTTTTTGAACAAATCTCCGTTTTTCTTTTCAAAACAGTCGATACAGCAATTTTTTACAGAGTTTTAATATGTCTCTCTTGTGGTATTGATTAAGATTGGAAAGTCGTTTTATAAAGATTTGTTTCTTTTTGACTTTTTTTTGGCATCGAACTTTGAGGAGAGAAACAAGTGTTTCGACCTCTGTTTTGGCGCTAAACTTTTCCTTATGTTTATTTATTTTATGATCGAAAGGAGGAAAAGTTGTTGATCATAGTTTCAACAGCTTCTTTGTGCTTGTATTTGGCCGTTTTTTGAGATTTTATTCAATTTTGAGAACCACTTTATAAAAGTTTTGTTGCTTGGAATTTTAGGTGTAACATGTTTACACGATATGAAAGTGTTAGTGTGGTTTATATCTTTTGATAGGTTGTAGTTTAAAGATTATTTGGCTAAAATTTTGTAGAATTCAGGTGCGTCATTTAAAAGTTATGGCACATCTCTCTTGACGTTTTACATAAAAATTTTATCTTAGTTGATGTAATTCGCGTGTCAAATTACGAAATTTATTTAAAAACAACCTAATATATTACTATTTTTAGAAAAACATCAGGAACGACAATTGTGGACAGAACTACATCGCCGAAGCCATTTGGAAGCACCGTTGTTATGGTGAGACAAAGGATTGGTGTTCTCAACCTGGTGGTCCAAAAGTTGAAACTCTCAACTTTGTCCGATTGTAAGTGGTTTTGAAGACAGTGTTTTTGATCTTTAGACTATGGGAATGGACAGCTTTGTGGGAGTTTGATTGGGATAATGTTGGTTTGAGTAATTGGGACAAATTGAGGTCGTTTGGACATTTGGACTGTTTTTAAACGGGATTTGTGAGCTTTTCAGAAGTTCTATGGATTTTAGGTTTTGTAAAATACGGCGGGCGGTATTTACATATTTTTATTCTTTTTAAAAATTTTAAAAGAACCGTTTATTTTTTAATTAATATTGTAGTAGACGCTTAACTTACGATGTAAAACCTATTTACTTCGCAGTTTTTTGCTATTTTTGATTAAAAATGACCTTTTTAAGCCTTTCAAAACAGTAAATACGTTCTTGACGACATTACAATACTAAAATAATTAATTATTTTACATTCTCACCTGTCTGCATGTATTACTTTTTGCTCAAAAAAACCAAAAATACTTCAGGGAAACTGGTGTTTTTTCACAATACACAGATGCTTTTTGTCAATACTATTTTAAAAAGAACATTTGCGTCATTTCATCCAAAAGGGAAGTAAGGGATTATACTAATATTGAGTGTAAAGTCTGTCGTGTACAATTTCATTTTAACTTTTTGAAGTTTTTTTGAATGATGAAAGGATTTTATACTCTTATATTATAGTTTGTACTTTCAGAATGAAGTACATATTACTTGTTTCTTTCACTTTTTCAACCAGAATTTTGTAGTTTTTTAATAGAAAGTTTTCTACTAAAAAATTGTAGTAATTGGAAAGAATATTATTTTAGGTACAAAAGAAAGGAAGTTTTCATTGTATCTTTTTTGAAAATCGTAGTAAAATTGAGGAAAAAAGTTTAAACGTGTAAAGACTGACCTTATCATACTCTAAACCAAACCCTAAAAGTACATTCTGTTATTATGAATATTTTTACACAATTTTACACAATTTCTATTTCTTGCGTACATATTTACACAGTGGTATTTACCAATAATTACCCATTTTCGGTTGCCATGGGAAAGTCGAAAACTTTTATTCAAAAGATTTTTCGAAACTGACTTTGGAAATTCATGGTAATATAATATGAAAAGGGGATTATTGTTTCATACCAGGGTTGAGTGGTTTATGAGGTTGGAAAAAGGGTTTAGTTTTGGAAGTTTGTTCTGGAAATGACCAGAGGGTTCTTATTTGTTTTTGTTGGTTTTTAATTTTTAAATTGAAATTTATTTGTTTTTATGGAAAAAGGTTTTATTATAGGCATTTTGATGACAATTTTTTAAAACTTTTTTCATTTTTCAAATTTTTTTGCTAGTTTTATTTTATCTCTTTGAACTAGACCTTGAAGAAAGGGCCCCCTAGGTCCGGCTTCGGGTTCGAGCTTATTTGAAAGGGACTGGTCGGCTTTCGTGGGTCCCTGAATTGGGGCCTAAAATAAGGTTCTAGGAGCCCAGATGAAGCAAATTTAAAAAAAAAAATAGAACCCGACCAGAGCGTTTTGCATGTCTACTTTGAACTAATTTTGGTATTTTATATTTTTGTGTATTTTGTTTACAATTGATGTCATCAAGCTTTTTTTTAAAGTTTAAAAACTAAAAAGCTTTTTTTATGTCATTTTACACTTATTGAGATGAAACTTATTGTCTACATTAATATGACGTTCCAGTCAACATTAATTTTATTTTGTTAGACTACACCAATTCAAATTCAAACCCGAGATTTCACAGCCATAGTGTTTTTTGGCAAACTAAACAAATTTCACACTGCCATTTCCAAACAACCGGTAAATGGAAAGCAGGGTTAGTGGTGTTGACGAGGGATAAAGAAAGGACCCAGTTCATAAAACAGACATATTTTTCTCGGGTCATTTTTTATTTCAACCCGAACGGTTTTTCGTTAAACATTTTTTTAAAGCCCCGCTTTGAGATTCGGCCAATTTTTAATTTGGTTCTTCTCGATTTTGGAGGGGGTTTTTAAATTTTGTCGTCTTGGGCAGGGATGGGCTGTTCTTTTGAAAAACGTTTTCTGAGGGAGGGGCTATTTTTTAAGACGACGTGTTTTGGGTTGGGGATGTGGGAACTTTTTATGATGGATATAGGGGAAAATGTTTGATTGGAATTTTTTTTTCAAATTCTTACCTCAACCCTCCTAAATAACCTCTAATTAGTATGCCATGACTCACATAACCCTCTTCCTTGATAGTGTTGTCCGGTACGAACGATTATCTTTTCTTGTGGGAATGTTTTGACATGCACAAAGGGCGTTTTTTCGACCGTTCTTCCGGTGTTTTGCAGCCGAATCTGTCCAAGCTTCTAAAACATTTTTGTTGTTTCATAAGTGTTTTGGCGAGCAGAGCTCGGGATTATTTGGATAACTTTTATTATAACGTGATTCATAAAAACAAGGCGATTTTGTTACCTATTTTATGATTTTTTGGTTTGGGAGGGGTGTTTTATTGGATTTTAAAGTTTTCTGGATTGAATTAAGGGCCGGGCTGGTTATTTTTGTCTTTTGGGTGGGGGAGTATGGTAGTGTATGAGTGTAGACAGTGGTTTTAATTTTTTTTGAAAAAAATGACTAGGGGGGGGCTAAATTTTAAAATTTTTGATTTTTGAAAATTTTTGTGAGATAAAATGGCTTTTTTTGATGATATTCTGTTTCAGAGTGCCACAAAGATGGATTCTAACTTAAAGGTGGACACATTGACGCTCCGACCGTCATCAACTGGCGGCGAGTCGATCAAAGTGGTGGTACGATGTAGGCCGATCGCACAGAATGAAGTTGCTGCTGGGCATCAGAAGTAAGTTAAACTGATATGTATAGGAAAATGTTTTTTTTGTAAAATACGATACTATTTTCAGTGGTCTTTATATTTAACATGATAATAACACAAAATAATTTTTTACCTTTCAGTGTGGTCGAAATGGCACCCGACCGCGGCGTGGTAGACATCAAAAACCCCAAAGATGGGACAGTCAAAAGCTTCACCTTCGACTCGGTCTACGACCAAAACTCGAAACAAATGGATCTCTACTACGAAACATTCCGCGATCTGGTCGATTCGGTATTAAACGGGTTCAACGGCACCATATTTGCATATGGTCAAACTGGTACGGGTAAAACATTTACCATGGAGGGCGTGGAGTCGGACCCAGCCTTACGCGGTGTGATACCAAATGCCATCGATCACATTTTTCAACACATTGCTCAATCTTCGAATCAGGAATACCTTGTGAGGGCATCGTATCTCGAGATATACCAAGAGGAGATACGTGATCTGATGAGTAAGGACAGTAAAAAGAGACTAGAGCTGAAGGAGCGGCCGGATACTGGAGTCTATGTTAAGGATCTAACCTCTTTTGTCACGAAGTCAGTCCAAGAGATCAAGCACGTGATGAAGTTGGGCAACGAGAACAGAAGTGTCGGCCGAACGAGTATGAACGAACATTCCTCACGATCTCATGCCATTTTCATTATCACTGTCGAGTCATCGGAGCCGGGTCCCGATGGTCAGAATCATATTAGAGTAGGCAGACTAAACTTGGTTGATCTGGCTGGATCAGAACGCCAAGCCAAGACTGGAGCGACGGGAGAGAGGCTAAAAGAGGCTACGAAGATTAATTTGTCATTGAGTGCTCTGGGTAATGTAATATCAGCTCTGGTTGATGGAAAGAGCTCTCATGTGCCTTATAGGGATTCAAAGTTGACTAGGCTGTTGCAGGGTAAGATTTTTTAAAATTTTGAATTTAAAAATTTTAAAAAAATCAATTTCTAATACTTTCAGACTCCCTCGGAGGAAACTCGAAGACAGTAATGGTAGCTAACATTGGTCCTGCTTCTTATAACTTCGATGAAACCATAAACACCCTAAGGTATGCTAACAGAGCTAAAAATATCAAGAACAAGCCGAGAATCAATGAAGATCCCAAGGACGCTATGCTGAGAGAGTTCCAGAATCAAATCGCTGAACTGAAGTTGAGGTTAGAACAAAGAATGACAGGATCAGGGAAGAGGAAGAAGAAACGGCCGAAGACGGCTTCTTCGATGCTAAGCGATGACACTTTTAATGAAGATGGTAGGTTAAGGGATGGTTTTTGGGGAGGAAACGTAATAGATTTTGATGATGGACGGGGTTGGTAGGGTAATTTTTTGATCTGGGGAGGTTTAAAAATTATAAAAAATTTTGAAAATTGAAATCGACAGGGGAGACAAAGTTAAATTTTTTGAATTTTTTTTTGGAAATGAAGGGCAAGGGTTTAAAAATTAAAAACTCCATTTTTAGACATTGAAGTACCTTCAAAGTTTAAATATTAAACTAAAAATAGCCCAAAAAATTTATAAACTTTGAAAATTACCTAAAAATTCATTTCTAGACGACCCAGAAGCCTACCTCCTGGAACAACAACAAAAACTCGATGCAGAACGAGAAGATATCCTCAGAAACAACGCGTTAGTTGAGGAGGAAAAGGTTCGAATGCTGAAAGAAATCGAAGACCGAGAAGCCGAATTAGCCCGAGAAAGCGAAGCCAAAGCCGCGATCGAAGAGAAACTTCACAAAATGCAAAGTAAACTCCTGCACGGCGCTGGAAACCTTCTGGATCAAACTCGAGAACAACAAAAACTACTACAACAACGACAAATCGAGTTGGCTGAGCAGAAGAAGAAGGAACGAGAGATTCTACAACAGCTAGAGAAACAAGATGAAAATACGGCTGAATTTCACGAAACTTTTTCGAATTTACAACAAGAAATTGAAGTGAAAACGAAAAAGTTGAACAAGTTTATGAAGAAATACAAGCAGATATGCGAGGAGATTGAGGAGACGGCAGAGCTGAACTCAAAGGAAAGGCAACAGCTCGAAGAGAGCATTAGCAATATGAATAAGGAGCTGAAGTTGAAGTAGGCAAACAGCATTTTTTTGAATTTTGAAACTTTTTTTTTTATTTTTGAATGTTTTAACTTAAGAAATTACAATTTTTTTGTTTTGCCATATTAAAACCGATTTTTTAAATTTAAAAAAATTAAAATTTGTCATTTCAGATGGCTAATAGTGGAGAACTTTGTACCAGCAGACGTAGTACAAAACCTGAGATCTCGTGCGGTGTTAGACGAAGATGAAGATACCTGGTATATCCTGAAGCCAGGTGAACAGCTTCGACCAAAAAGCCGGGATTCGGCCAATCAGTCGGTAACTGAAAAGCCAATCCTACGTGATATGATGGATTCTGGGTTGGGTGGCAATAGTGATACCAGCTCGACGGATTCGGCTATTCATGCTCAGAATGGCAAGATGGATTCTGGAAGGAAGACGGTTGATGCTTCTAGCATTAAACGGCCGGTAAGGTGGTGGATTGATAAGGAGTTGGAAGGGAAATTGAAAAAAAAATTCAGTTTTTTTGGGTATTATAATATAAAAACTTTATTTTAAACCTAGTAAAAGCGAAATGAACTTTTTTTTTATTTTCAGGTATAGAACATAATAAACCAATCTTTTTTCAGTACACCAACCCATCAGCCAAGCGCTTCTGCCTGGATATTGAACGTCAACTCCTAACTCAACTACGTCAACGATACCTCCGAGCCGGTCCTCATTTACCACGTACGGCCGGCTCAAACCTTGATAATATTTTTAAACAAACTCTACCGGTCGAAATCCCAGAGACTGTGCTGCGGTTTCAAACCGAGAATTTGTTGACTTTCACTTCACTGTTACCTTTTCCATTACCTGTCAGAGACGATTACGACATGGCGTGTCGACAGGAGCCTCAAATGGTGGGTTTTGGGGGTGTTGTTTTTTAAAGTTTGAGGTTAAAATGTTGATGATTTTGAAAGGTGGCAAGTATGACTATATATATGAGTATATTAATATATGGTTATCCTAAAAAATGTAAAATACGGTTCTTTTCTTTTAATTCGTTTGGTAAATTATAATTTTGCTTGTTAAAATTGATCTGTGTGCTGAATGTATGGCTCTTGGTAATTTGCTTTTATGATTATTAATGAGTATCACACCTCCAAATTCTTTTAAATTTTTCAAATTGCTAAACAATCATGGCTTGTCTTGAGGCACGGTATAATAAGCAGGGTTAGAAGAAGAGCTTTGAGTTGAATATAAATACTGTTGGGTAGTGCGTAAGGTAGGATATGGTAGTTAAGGTACGGTATGGAAGGTACGGTAGGGTAGAGTGGGATATTTTACTTTACTATAGTTGGTCAATCCTATTCTTTACCTTTGTAGATTTTACTTTACAATGTCTTACTCTACCTTATCCTTGTTTTACATTACCTTCATCAATCTTTACTATATATAATCTTACTGCAATTCTATCGATGATCTTTCTTTACTTCATTTTTTTTAACATAGCTTTACTTGTCTATCTTTAATCTGCCTTACATTACTTTGTCTTGCCCTATCTTAAATGGGGCATGGCAAATTATACTAAGGCTTGTCTCTGCCGTACTTTATTAGAAGTTTAAAAAAGTATTGAACGGTGATTGATTTCGAGCTTGATTAGACGTTTTGCGGCTTGTGAACTAGACAAAACGTACTAAAACAACCTTTGAACATTTGACAATTGTAAAGTGTAAGAGTTAATGAACTGGGCTTAACATAGACTTTAATGAACTTTGATGAATGTATACTTAACTTAACTGAACTGTGATTAATACAAAATTAACCATAGTAAACTGTGATGAATACATGCTTAACTTTAATGAATTAACTACTCAAGATTTATGCATTTGCTTGACCTTTGCAATAAAAAATCAAAGGTGAATGAAGACGACGCAGATTAGGGTTAAAAGCGGAATATTTGCGGTTTAACCTTGGGTTATATTTGTTGAGTTTTTTCGATTGCGAGATTCTCGAGGACTTGCGGCTTATAAACTATTATTAGTTTTGGTCTTTTTGGTTTGTTTTGCTGTTTTTCTAGGGAAATTAAATTATCATTGGTCGAATTTATGGAAAATTGAATTTTTATGGCAAAAAAAGTCTTGTGGCTAAAATTTACAAACTTACACCTTTTTGGAACGACAAGACTTTTCTATGATTTTGCTTACTTTAATGAACAATAAATTTGCTGCAAAAAGTGTTCAAGTTTAGCGAATTTCGAGTAATAACTCACTCGGCAGTAGTCATTGAGCCGTCTCACGTCAATTGCAAATTCGTCTGAACAAACTCTTCCACAACTTTTCTGTTTGTATTTGAATGCGCAAAACAAAAAAGCCGACTGAAAAACAAGAATTCGCAGAGGGAAATAGGTAATGCGAGAAGGGCGATAGATTGTCATGATCGAATAATTGGTTTTGTGTTTGGCTAGCTGGGAGCGGGTGGGTTTTGAGGGTGGATGAAGGGAAGGTGGGGTAGGCAGGGTGAATTTTAAAGTATAGTAACGGTAGGGCATGTTAGGGTAAGGTAGAGTAGGGTAGGATAAGGTAGGGTAAGAAAGGATGATATAGGGTGGGGTATGGTAGAAATGGGTAGGGTAGAGTAGAGTGTCCTAGTGCAAAACAAAGTATACCTTAAAGTATAGCGAGGGTAGTGCTGTGGTAGGGTCTTATGCTCCATAGCATGGTGGAATAAGATCGAGTAGGGCGGGGTAAGATAGAGAATGGTGAAAGAAATTATGTTATGATGGGGTTACCTAAATTTTAAGCGGTCGTTTTGCTTTGTACTGATAAGAAATTTAAACTTAATGAGACTTTTATTATCAGATGATGATTAGTAACTATGTATCCAAAATTATGATAAATTATCAACAGCTTTTAATCATAACTTTGATAAGCAAACAAGAGTTCTTTCATAATTTTAATATTCAAATACACAATGACGTTCTCTACTCTAATATTACAATAAACTGCCTTACTCTTCTTAGTATTAGAACAACTTTAGTGTGAAGAAGACTAAAATAACCCCTAATGTTCCTAATCTAAAAACACCTCTTAATGTTACGTTTTACGGCCCACACAACCATATTTCCGGATGGCAATATAACTTTATCTTCTAACTTAGTTATTGGTCTTCGGAACACTAAAAATAACTAAAATTTGGGAGTGTTTTTTCGCGCCGTTCGCTTTTTCGACGGCATTTTATGCTTTTGTGGACACATAAACATGGCTTTTAAACTTTTCGGAACTGAATTTTAGTTTTTGAACGTTTGAGGGCACAAAACTTTTATTTTTACTTTTAAATTTTGAATTTTGAGCCTTTAGGAGCATTGCGGTTTTAGTTACAGTGGTCTCTCTATATATTGAATAATCTGTATAAGCAACTCTTTCTATAGTAAACAAGAATTTTGGCCCCGCTAAGTTAATTTGCACTAAAAAGTCTCTCTGTAAAGACAACACCTCTTACAGTAAACACAAAATGTCGGTCCCTTTGGGTTGCTTATATAGAGAGAGTTCTGTATTAAAAGTCTGTTTTAAAGGCGGGTTATAAAGTACATCTTCTGAAAATAGAAAGTGAAAGATATACATACCCTATACTGTACCACCCTGTTCTACCATATCTTAGCGTACCTTACCTTAGCTCACTTTATCTTACCTTATATTACACTAGGGTAGTACCAGTGATGACAAAGAGTTTTAAATTTAAAGTGTAAAATATAATTTTTTAAATCTTATATGATTTAAGCTACTATATTGGGATTCAACTAGCTCTGCTTGTGTTTATTTTGGTAGGAAATGAAATTTGATCATTGTTGGCGGTTATTATGCTTTATAACTTTTCAATATCTTTTTGAAAAATTATTTTTTTGTAGGGGTTAACCTTAAAAGTAATGTTTTTGTTTACTTTGACATACAAAAAAGTTTTTCCTTCAAATTTTTTCAACTTTACAATTACTGAAAATGTGATTTTTATGTTTATTTTATGGCGTCAAAGTTTATTGCTAAATAAATTAGTTTCTAATAGGTTTAAAACATCTTTTTCTTAACTTGAAAGTTTAAACAAACATTGTTTTTTAATCAAAGCATAACAAAACCTTTTTTTATATTCGAAACATCAAAAGTACCTAAGTTAAAAAATTGACTTTTTGACCTTTCCGTACCACAATCAATAGCATGTCTATGTCATCCTCAAAAAAACCTTAAACATGCTTGTCCAGCCATATGAAGCATCTCGAGATAAGGAGGCTAAAACATGCACGACCTGAAGGACCTTCTGGCCTTTTCCTCCTTTGGCCGTGTTTCCCTTTTTTTTCAATTTCCTCAAAAAGAGCCGTTTCCTTGTCTTCAATATATTTCGCGCGCTTTTGGGATTAAAATATATTACTTACTCATATGGGGATGTTGCGGGGGAATTTTTTATTTTGGTTTTTTTTATATAGGGCGTGGGTAATATTTGGGTTGTAAATGGGTGGATATTATGTGTATTGTACATGGCATGAGCATAGGTACTTACAAGGAAAGGTCCCCACCGCGCATTGGACTGGTGAAAAACTGGTACATACAAGTTGTAGAGCATGGTCAAATTAGTCAAAAACCGAAAAAAAAATTACCCCTCGTGGGGGTTTTTTAAAAAATTTTATTACGTCGAAGTTTAAAATGTTAATTGCGCTCGCGCTAGACTCAAAAAAGAAAAGGGGAGTGCCGTGCTGCAATGGCGCAGTGGTTGCGCTCTCGGCTAACGCTCGAAGCACGTCGGTTCGAGTCGTGCCGGGAGCACACCCTTTTGTCCCTGAATTAAAATTTTTAAAAATAAAAAATTGTTTTTTTTTTGGTCAACTTTTGTTTTGTTTACATTAAAAAATCGATTTCTCTATTTATTAAGCTTGTTTTTAATATAATTTAAATGGTATTATTATACTTACAATTCTATTTATTTAGCATAATTACCTAAAAGCACAATCAAATAGCTCTGAACTTCTCAAAAATCATTTTATCAGCAAGTAAACTCTTATAAGTCTCCAGATTCTTGATTTCGCAGCTCAACATAACGATACAATCGACCGGATGTTTTTTTACCAATCGATTCGTCGTTCGAATTTCGTTTCCATCTGTTTATACGTTTTCTTCCGGCCATTATTCGATTCCTAAAACCACATACTTATCCACCAACTCGTAAGGCACGTTGAGATCACCTCAGGACAAAACTTCTCCATTATTACAAACAAAAATAAAATAAAATTACTATTTAAAGAGTAATAGAACGAACAAATGACCAAAAAAATAATTTTTTATTTTTAAAAATTTTAATCCAGGCAAAAAAGGGTGTGCCTACGCCGCGACCCGAACCAACGGGCTTTGAGCGTTAACCGAGAGCGCAACCCCTGCGCTATTGCATCACGGAACTCTCTCCTCTTCTTTTTCCGAGTCTAGCGCGAGCGCAATTAAGGTTTTTAAACTTCGACGTAATAAAATTTTTTAAAAAACCCCCCACGAGGGGTAAATTTTTTTTCGGTTTATGACTAATTTGACCATGCCCTACAACTTGTATGTACCAGTTTTTCACCAGTCCAATGCGCGGTGGGGACCTTTCCTTGTTAGCTGAATGGGGAAGATGTTAGGGAGAGTGGAGGATGAATTTTTCCTTCAGGGCCGGTTCGAAAAAAGCGCTTTTCACAGGTCCGAGGAAAAACTAATTTTTTTGAAAAGTTGGTACACACGTACCTGCCGACTAAAAAAATTGGCTTCTCTTCTTTACCCTCTCATAAAAAACCTATATTAACGCTCTTGTATGGATCATATGAATCTTACCAAGGCTAGAGCCAACTTATGTTTTGACAAAGTTTATGAGGGTGGACACTATTTAGCACCAAATTGTAGAAGAACATACTCATAACTCTATCTTTTTCGAAAGTATATTGCGCAATATAAGTAATATTAAAGTGCTATAATGAATATATTGAGAAAAGGGGGATTAACGGAAAAATTGAGGGAAACCTTGAGTGAGTTCAATTAAGAATATTTGGTTAATTATGCTGAAGAGAAGCAAAAGGAAATTATAATATATGGAAGAGGGGTGTTGGTATTACTCTGAGATATTTGGCATAGTTTTTTTACCGTTACATGTAAGGTATGGTAAAAGAGTGGTAAGGTAGTGGTGGGTACAGCAGTGTAGGATAGGGTAGGGTAGTGTAGAGTAGAGTATGGTGCGGTAGGGCTGCGTATGGTGTAGGGGTGAGAAACGGGCCGGCCTTGAGCAAAAATTGAAACGGGCCGGGCCCAAACGTTAGGCCCGGCCCGCGGGCCAGGCTTGAAAATTAAGCCCGGGCCCGAAAAAAAAATTTTTAATTTTTAAAAATTTTTTATTTCAATCCCCGTTGATGTTTTTTGATTTTATTGTGTACCATGATACATAAATGATCTAAAAGAACAATGCAAATCCAAATTTCCGTTTATTTTTTAAGTTTTAAAATTTTTTAAAACGGGCCGGGCCGGGCCTAGAAATTTTCTGACCGGGCCGGGCCGGCCTGAGAGAAAATTGAAAAGGGCCGGGCCTAAACGTTGGGCCCCGGGCCTGGGCCGGGCTTTAAAAGTGGGCCGGCCTTTTTCTTACCCCTAGTATGGTGGGGTAAGGTAAGGTAAGGTAGGATAAAGTAAAGTAGGATAGGATATGTAAGGGTAAGAAAATATAGTGTAGGGTATGTTTTAGTACGGCACGGAAATCTATGGTAAGTTAAACCCTAAAAATTGTTAAATGCAAGCCAAAAACTCTGTTTTTGTAATGTTTTGTTGTTTTATTATTTCAAAGGCTTTTTCCGACAAAAACATCTCCAAGAAGAAGACCAAAAACATTGGCCGATATTGTCGTTGTTCTCTTTCTTTCATTTACAATTAGCTCGACTTCTTAGGGACTGTCATCGTTTTTGAATGGAAAAGGAAGCGATTTTTTAAGTTTTGGGATATAAGAAAAAATATTTGTTTTTTATAAGGCGTAGCAACTTTTAAGTTTTTTTTTATCTTTATTAGGGGATATTTTCTACATTTTTGGAAGAAGAAAATAAGGTTTTTATAAATAGAAAGAAACTTTTTGGTTATTGCCATAGAATGAAGACTATTTTTTTAAGTTTATGCGCCATGAAGGCATGACAAATTTTGGGTTTTCTTTTGCCATAAAAGGAAGACAAATTGTCTTTGGGTTATGGCTCAATGAGTTTTGGGTAAAATATAAGAAGATTTATTTTAGCTTTTAACGTGAAATGTATTATAACTTGTTTTTTGAGTATGAATTTACAGTGGAACTTCTATTATATATAACGAATTTCTGAAGGATTTTGAATTTGTTTGTTATACAGGAGTTACACTGGATATAAAATGATTAATTTAGTACTTGTGGTATTGGTATGGTAGTTTTTGGTACTGAGGTCTCTAAAAAAATTGTATTAGTGTGTTCTCCCCCTTAAAAAATTTGTAGCGACGTCTCTGGTTATAATACAGTTTTTCGATCAAAAAGTTAATAGCAACTTTAGCTGCAAAAAGTACTCTTGATTCACTTTTCCTTTCAAGTTTCACTTACTTTTGTCCATTCGATTCGTATTTATAAGGCTGGATAGTGTTTCTATTCGTATATAATTGGGCTGCTCTATATAATTTAGATAGCTTCTTTTTACTTTTTAGCAGAAAGTAAAAAGTACAATTTATCTTACAAATCTTTAACTCCTGTCTAACTAATCGCTGGGGGGGGCGTTTTAAATTTGTTCGTTATAAAGGAGTTTTGTTTTACAGGAGTTTACTGTATTAAAGTGGACTTCAAAATTTTATTTTTTATTAATTTCGGCTTCGAAAATATAAATTAGCATATTTCCAGGCACCATTACAACGCTCTGACAGTTCGAACGTCATAATCGACGCGTCGAAGATCCCGGTTCCTCGATCTGCCAGCCGGAGCGGCCGTCCGACGTCATCACGGTAAGGAATTGGTTTTGTATTTTAGTCTTTAGAATTTCAATGTTTCTGTTTTTTAATATATAATCTGTGTTTGGACAACCTAATTTAAAACTACGACAGGATTTTTTTAAAACTTGTAACAGGGTGATATACAGGCCCTAGATCACAAATTTTAAGCCTTATAGTCTGCTCTAGATCGCTAAATCTAAGTCTTACAGCCAGAGCCAACTTTTTTTTCACTCAAAATTTTGTGGCCAGTTTTAAAGTGAACTTTAAGGTTTTATGTAAATTTAAAAACGTTTCCTTTTCGTTTTTTATGTTCTGTTTGTTGGCCGAGAAGAAATCAATTGGTCACTCAAAGGATTAGCGAAGGAAATGAAAGAAACAGGCATTCACATTTGATTAGACTTTTTTTAAGTGAACAGGCCGGAAATGATTTTGGAAAGCTATGTTGAGGACATTTTAAAACATCACCTTGAGGTTGGGGCTTGTTTTGGTACTAAAACATTCAGATTTTTGGTTTTATTAGGGGTAAAAAGTCTTGTTTATGATGGCTTTGGTAGTAAAAAGGGGGTTATAATGGTAGTTTTGGTAGTAAATGTTGATATTAATGGTAGTTTTGGTACTGCAAATCGCTGTCTTTGCTTGTATATTACAAAATTGTGTTAACTTTAGTATTTAACATTGATTTATACCTTATAATCTAAAATTTCATCTATAATAATATGCAAATCATTTCAGACGGAGCTCCTCGCTGTCAAAAAACGTGCGTGCCCGCAGCGTACTTTCCACCCCGCCCCAATCCCTCCATTTGTCATCATCTCACGACGACCCGGCCACTTTCTCCGTCGACCGTCCGCCGCCACCGCCGAATGGTCGTGGCGGAGGCGCACCGCCCATCGGCCGGCTTCCCGACGCCTATCTAACCCAACGTCCGCCAACCCCACCAACCGCCAAACACTCCGCCATCCGACCGCCCAACGCCAACTCGGCATTGGTGTTCCCGAAGGCGAGGGGATTGGTGGCTGGAAGACGTTGAAAAAAGAATGGCATGGCAAAGGGGAGCGTGATTTGACGGATGAATGTTATAGTAGCGAATTCATAGATGATTTGAATAGTTTTAAGTGCCAAAATGAAGCCAAATGTATTAGAAATGGTTTTGAAAATGTTGTTATTGGACTAAGAAGATGCTGGAATGAAGAAAAATTATCTGTAAATGATGTTAAGACCAATGAATTAAAGAAAAGTTTAAAAACCATGGAAGAACAGAGAGGTGAACTGATTGAAAAGTTGAAGTTATTGAAGAATAGACAAGATAATGCTGCAAAATTGATGAATGATGGCCAGGATGACCTGAAGAACATTATTGAAACAAAGAACAATGTCTATTACACTATTCCGAGTGGAAGGTCGGCCTTAAACAATAAGAGAGATAAGGTCTTTAGTGTGGAAGTCAGTGATAGGTTTAAGGCTAAGAAGTTGAGAGAGAAGAGAGATGAGGTACAGAGCTTGAGAGATCAGAGACATGAGGCAGAGAACATTACTAAGAAGAGAGATAAAAACATGCCCTTGGAAGACAAAGAACATTATCAATGTGAGAACAATGGCCAATCTGCAAATGACCATTTCAAAGGGTCAAACAATGCCTTTCCTCAAGATATTCAGAATTTCGAAGACATTTTAAACAAAAACAATCGAATTGAGGCGGAGCCAAACAACAATGATACTCATGATCAATATTATGGTCAAGAGGAAGATCAGAGTCTAGTCCATAGAGAGGATCAGGGTCTAGGCTATAGTGAGGATCAGAGCCTACTTCAAGATCAGCCAAAGTTCTGCGATTCTAAAGCTCTTCAGAAGTGTGTAAAGCTAAAAGAAGATCCGTTTACCGCCCTAAACGCTCGTCATCAAGAAGATACTTCAAGTACTATAGTCGACGATATGTACCGAGATTTTGCTTTGGACTACACTAATGACGAACCAAAGTATTTGTCGGATTATGATATTGATTATGGCGATTTGATACAGAATCTGAACAGCTCCAAGAATAGGATGAATCAGATGCTTTCTACTGATAAAAGAGGTGATAGGAGGTATGATAGAACTGCTGATGATAAGTACAGTAAGCTTAGGAATGAAGAATATGGTAGAAGATACAGTACGCTGAAGCATGAAGATTATGATAGAAATTTTGCTGAAAGCTACAGTAAAATGAATAACGACTACAGTAAGTCCGATATAGAAGCCTACGGTAGAAAAGCAAGCTACAATAACATGTCTTCGAAAGCCTGTATCAGCTCAAGTGATGCAATCTACAATAACCGTAGTAATACTGAACGAAGCTACAGTAAACTTAAAGATCAAGCCTTCAACCACCGCAATCAAAGAAGTTACAGTAAGCCATCAGACGAATCTTACAATATCCTCAGTGACGATGACCTCAAGCTAGAGTACAGTAAGCCTTCAAACGACCAAAAATCAACAAACATTTTGACGGTATCAGATTTGAAATTTGAAAATTATCAAAAAAAGTCATCGTGCTCTTCATCACAAGGTATCTCGTCAATGTCATCAAGTTCACCATCGGTTAAGGAGCAACATTCACCGTCATCTGGAGTCTTCACGGACCCAGAAGACCCTCCGAACTCGGATGGATTGGATCCGATGGTTGTGCTGAGTGCTATCGAGAATTTGAGGTGAGGTTAGCTTGAAATTTTGCGGTTTTTTGATTTTTTTTTAAATTTTCGAAAATTTTTTGGATTAAAAAAAATTTTTTTTTATTTTACTTTGATTTCCATACTCATATAACTCAATATACCTTCAGACCATACTCAAAAAAGCCCCCAATCCCACCACCGCGAGGTCTAAGCCGATGTTCATCAACCTCATCAATCCAATTCAATAAACCCTTCAAACCAACTAAGATTCCACAAATGTCACGATCAATGATGTCGACTCCAGAAGCCTCAAGACCACCATGGAGAATGTCATCTTCAATGTTCTCACCAAGCTTCAGAGAAGGATATCTGGATGGATCACATGGATCTTGTGAACAATTGGCCGAGGTCGAAGGACTGGACACTCCACGGTAGGGATTTTACGGTTTTTTTGGGGGGGGGGTTTGAAATTTTTTTAAAATTATTTTTTATGGCTGGAAAAAAATTCAAAAAAAAATTTTTTGAAAATTTAAAAAATTTTAATATTTTACTATATAAAATCACGATTTCCAGTCAAATGATGTCCAATTCCTCAACCATCCGCTGCATTTCTCGTATCGTTCCTATGCCACCAGCCATCATCTCTCCCTTATGTACAGTTCGAATGAACCGTGCCAGAACCGAATCTCCCCCTCCAATGCTGCTCGACTCTATGATCTCATCAGGCTACGATCACATGACTCAAAGTGTCTATGCCCCAACAGAAGAAGACCGTCGGATCGTGGAGGAACGCTGGAACGTTAAGGAAATGGACAGATTTAAAAACTCGTTCGGCGGCCGAATCTTGTGTCCCGAAAGGAAATTGAGGCTTTTCCCTGCGAAACAAGCTAAGTGCACTGATTGTAGGCATTTGACGATAAGAAGAAGATCAGGCCGGATTCAGAAGAAGCAGGTCAGTGTGAGGGATGGGTGTCATTGTGAGAAGAAGGCATGGTTAATGAAGTTATGGACTGAGAAGATTAGGCCAAAGTTGCCCGAGGTTAAGCCGATGGATTTGGCTTTTGTACTGGGATTGGTGTCTTTGTTGGCATACTTGATTGATTGGTTGTTGTTGGCTTGAAAATTGTTTAGGGGTTTGGAAGTTGGTTAACTTAATGTTATGTTAGGTTCTTTTGGCACTACTTTTCAAATGTTTATATGAATTCGTACTAGATTTCGCTAGATTTTTTAGTTTTTCTTTATATTATCATACGCTGCGGGCCTTATTTTAGTCTTTTGTTATTTAAAAACCTTGTATTTTTATTTTATTTTGATCTAAAATTATATTTTTATGTGTTAAAAACTTTTAAATTGTACTTTTGTCTTTTTAAAACTTTTAAATTTTAATTTCACAAATTCAGGAATTGAAATGTCTTTGTTTTGACAACTTTATATTATAGTTGTCAATATTATGTGGTCTTTGATGTACATTATTGTTGTTATATGTATACAGAATGTTTAGTTTTGACATAATCAACTTTTAGTTAATAAAATGAACTATTATATTTGACCAGTCAGTTTTGTTGTTATTTTTTGCGATGTTAAGAAACTTTTCGATACTTTTTGAGTTTAAAGAGACTTTTTGCCCTTTTTTTATTTGTAAACAAGGTTTTCGTCATTTTTAACGAAGACTTGATTTCGTATTTCAACAACTCTTAGGATTTAAAATGTCTTCTTTGAAATTTTGTAAAATACGTAAATGGTTTCACGGTAAAAATTTTACAAATCACAATCACCACAAAGTTTATTTAGTACAATATAAAAAGCATACAAAATCAGCACTTTTTCCCGATTTTCTGCAATCTCTTCTCGATTTCCGATGCATTGTGAAGCGGTGGAGCTGATCGGTTTTCGTATGGTGCTTCAGGGAATAACTGAAAAAAAAAGAAAAATTATTATTAGAGGCCGGGCCGAAGCAAATTTAAAAAAAATGGAAAGGCCCTAAGGCTGGGTTTGAATAAAAGTTACAGGGTTTAGCTTTGGCCCCACAACGAACGACAACTTCTGTATAACAAACTCCTCTATGATAATGTTTCTGTATAACGAGTAACTTTTACATCCCGGTCTATCAATACACAGTGCATTTAAAACTCGTGTATAATGAAACTAATTCATAAAGCATAAATTTAAAATCCCCGAGGAATTCGTTATACAGCGGTTCCACCGTGATATATTTATTACAAAATAGGAACAGTACCCACCTTCTTTCTACGAGCTGCACCCTCATCTTCAAGGTTTTGTTCACTGAGGCCTTGTTCCACCAATGGAGTTTCGTCTACCTAAAGAATGGGCAATATACTGCAACTTTGTGTTATTTACTGTAAAGTTGACTACAGTTTTTAACTATGATATTAAAGTACTAAGACGTTAACTTTTACAAAAATAAATTACAATAAATGGGCTGAAAGGTTATAAAAACCTTTTTACATTGTAAAAAAGATGATTTCATGGATGATTTTCTAATTTTTAGGCCTAAAACCTCAAAAAATTTAAATAAAAAGTAATTTCCATGAACTTTCGGACCAAAAAACAAAGTTTAAAGTTAGAAAATGTCAAAAACCCTTACAGTATCAAAGCTTTCGCTGCTAGTACTAGAATAGCCTTCGGCAACGCTAGTGAACTCAATAGTTCTTGGAGCGGTCGGAGTTCTTCGGTTTCCAATATGAATCCTCAATGGCAAATTGTGCTTGTTCTGCTTGCTCAAGATTCTCGAAAATGCGTCATCGATCAACTATTATAAAACAATATTTTATATCATTTTACTCTACTCTACTCTACCCTACCCTACCCCACCCTACCCTACCCTACCCTACCCTACCCTACCCTACCCTACCCTACCCTACCCTACCTTACTCTACTCTATTTTAGACCAAAATTGTGTATATAGTACTCACTGTAGCTACTGTAATATAAAAAGTACTAAACCCTACTACAATATTCCCCTACCTCACACATCAAGGACCCATCTTTGTCCGCGCAGTCGGTTTTGAACTTTCTAGTACAACATTCCTTGGTTCGTCGACGATTAATCACTTTCAAGGCGGTTGGGCCGATCTCCTTACAGTATGGCTGATTCCCAACTAATAGAATCTGGACTTCTGTCTCTTTGATCGATTGATCCCGGAAGTCTTGCTTGGCCTGAAAAGTAAAAAAACTTAAAATTAAGGGTATTTTTTGCAAATAAAATCTTTCGTTGTAAGACCTAAGATAGGCCCCTGAAACCTTGAGTTAGGCACCAACCCTTCAGCCACCTGTGGCAAGCCGGCCTCTGTCGAGGGCTTTTAGTCACATCTGCCTGCCTAATCCTTGCCGGGGCTAGCCTAGGCGAACTTTCTCATTCAAGTCAATTATGAAGAACTTGAGACCTACTATAACATATTAAGCCGTTCACTTAATTCTGTCCCCCTAACACAATATAAATCTACCTCATAAGCAGCATTGAGTTTGTCGATGAAATGAACATGTGGCGGCCGAGAATCGTAGGACACAGTGCCAGTGCTCATGGTGAAGGTCTCGAGAACATCGCAATCAAAGGGAAGACTTCATTTACCGTGGTAAATGTCACTTCCTTCTCTTTACTCAAATTCACCGCCTTTTTCATACCAAAATGTTTATCAAAATGACTTTTTTTGAAAATTAAAATAAAAAAAAATTTAAAAATAAAAAAAAAATTTTTAAAAAAATTAGTCTACAGCACCCCTACAGTATCACAACCTGCTTTATTATACAGTAACATTTGTTTTGTTCAAATAAATTAGAAATCACAATCCATCGATAGTCTGTAGACCGAATCGTCGATGAATGTTGCTACAGAATTCTCGACCTTTTACGAATGTCACTCCCCCATACTCCATTATGAACATGAATAAGGTCAGTAATGTTAACACAACACTCAATGTGACATAGGCTATCGTTTGGAATAGGGCTTTTGGTCCCAATGGTCCTTGCGACTCAATTATAAACTTCTTTCGACCATTCCAGTTCTTGGTCGGGAAATCTGAAAATTTGAAATTTTAAAATTTTTTGTCATTCTTGATTGTTGGGTAACAAAAGTCAGAATAGGGTAACCAACATTAAAACTTTAGTTACGTTTACGGCTAGGCAGAGCCAAACTACAGTAAAAATATGACATAGGGCTAAGCTTAAAGCTAGGAGTAAGGCTAAAGCTAGAGCTAAGACTAAGGGTAATCCCAAGACCAGTACCAGAACCAGCCTATGGCTAGAGCCAAATCTAAGGCTAGGCCAGCACCAAATTCAAACCAAAACCAAGACCAGAGCAAGAACAAGATCAAAGTCGGAGCTAAAGCCAGGACCAGCACCAACGCCAGAACCGAAACCAGAGCTAGCGTAGATCCAAAGCCAGGGCTAAGACTAGGAAGAGCCCCAGCGCCAGAACCAAGACCAGAGCCACCGAAGAGCCAAAGCCAAACTAGTGCTAAGGTTCTAAGGTAGGACTATGGGCTAGGACTCAGAACTAGGGCTCTGGGCTAAGGCTTTGAACTAGGGCTCTGGGCTAGGGCTCTGGGCGAGGGCTTTGGGCTAGGGCTCTGGGCTGGGGCTCTGGGCTAGAGCTCTGGGCAAGGGCTCTGGGCTCTGGGCTAGGGCTCTGGGCTGGGGCTCTAGACTAGAAATAGGAGTATAGCTAGAGCTAGGGCTAAAGCTAGGGTTAAATTTTCTACTTTTTTTATTACAACTTGCATTTTTTAAAATTTTTTGAAATTATTGTCTTTGTTACAAGCTCCCTTAGGTAACAAAATCGACTACAAATACGTAAAACACGTCATTTCGATTAAAATACATCACGTTCCAGACGTTTTTTTTTCAACAAGGTGCTTCTCACTTTTAAGCTGACGTGTCGCGCGACGTAATACGACATAAAAACGACCGTCGAAAAAAAACGTCGTCTGGATCGTTCGATTTGCAACTTGACTCTTTTGAAATAAAAGTGAATCTGTGATCTTTGATGCAAAAAACGACCGATTTCGGTCATGTTTGATATGTGTTTGGAGAATATTAATTATGTCATTGTTATTGATTTTTTGATGATTTTTCTTATTTGATTTACCGTACCATGTGCTTCCGTACCCTACTGCACCCTGCCATACCTTATTCTACCCTCCAGTACCCTACCCTACCTTACCTTAACTTACCCTTACCCTGCTGTTCCTTATCTTGTCCTACTATACCGTACCTTCCGTGCATTTCCCTGATCTGCACTGCCCACCTCTAACCTGCACCGACGACCTCTAAAGTGCTTGGTATTGCCCGGTCTTGTCCTACCTTCCCCAATCCTACCTCGCCCTGCCTATGCCTTATCTTTGCTTTACCTGTGCTTTGCATTTACTCTATTTTACCCTACGCTGCCTTACCCTAATTTCAGTCACTTTTCAAAAAAATTTTTTAATTCACCCCTCCCTTTTATGCCCCTCCCCCAATATTCAAAATTTTAATTCTATTGTCGAATACGACAATTGTCGTATTCAAGTCGCCAGTTTAAATTGGTTTTTCCCGTCTACAGACACTTGTTTTTTGACGTCGCTTTTGTAGCAATTACACGAGACAAAAGGAGACAAAACAATTCGCAACATTATAGTAATCACGCTTAAGAGATCAGTCTACGTTATTGTAGACGGTCTGAATAAGAACATTCATTTTTCATGATTTTCTAGGTAAGACTAGACTAGACAATCAAGGTTTTTTTGAATTTTTTGGCTTTTTAAGTATTATTTATTCATTTTTAGCTTGTATATTATCCTAAAAGGCGATATTCCCACGTTGTACTCATTCTGCTAGAAATTATAGTTATCTCTTAGCCTTCTACCGTATATCTTCAAAACAAAATTCATACGTGATTATTAAATTGACCTATATATCTCTTTGCTCTTATTTGAAACACCCTTTGATTGAAACACAGTTCAACTGACCACTAAATCTCAATTTATGTCATGTGGTGTTGACTATAAATCTCAGTCAAATAATATAAGAAATTTATAAGCTTTTCCAAAATTGTTGTCATGGCAGGGTAAGTAAGGCTAGAGTAAGATTAAGGCATAATAGAATACGGCAATGTAAGGATAGATAGTGTAGCCTAGAAAAGCCTAAATAAAGCTGTCCTACTCAGATCCGTCTTTGAGTTGTCGTTCGCCCTAGCTCTACCCTAGTCCTAGTCATGCCCTAGGTTTTCCCTGGCTTTTATCTAGACTTGCCCTAGCCTTGCCCTAACCTTACTCTAACCTTGCTCTAGACTTGCCATAGACATGTCGTAGCCTTGCTTTAACCTTGTCCTAGCCTTGCCCTAGCCCTGCCTTGGCCTTAGCTCTAGCTCTAGCTCTAGCTCTATCTCTAACCCTAGCCCTAGCCCGAGCTCTAGCCCTAGTCCTATCTTTGCCATAAATCCAGATTTACAAACTAATAGCCACAACCTCCAAAAAATTCTATGATATCCCACTGCCCTTACCTATCATATCAATATGATTAACGGGCTTAGCAACATTCTCCGCCGTCTGGAGACAAGACCAATTCGGCGGAAGCGTAAATCATCGCTTTTTCCGCGACGCATTTATTTCCACAACAGACGATATATTTTATTTTTTCGTTTTTATAGACGAAATAATCGCTCACACGCGAGTTTTGACGTGCCCTTAATTCGAGATCACGAGATCATTTCGCTAAGATTTTGACGTCTCGCTAAATCTTCACCAACCCTTTTACAAAATGCAAGTCACAAGTCCGGTGGCGATTTGCGGGTTTTTGGATTTTTAAAGATTCTTCTGTGGGTTGGGTTTAACGTTTGTTTGATTTTGAAGATTTAAAATTTTAAAACTTGCAAGTTTAGGGATTGGTCTATCTAAACTTAAAATTCCAATAATAATCTATGTCTAAACTGCTCTAAAATCTAAGCTTTGGCTCTCTTCTATGCTTTGGAACCAAGTTACAGGCCTTTAAAAAGTTATATCTTTTGACTCCGCTTTTATCATTATACTTTTAAAATTTAGGTAACAAGATCGGTGTTCACACAAAAAGTTCAAAATTTTAAGTATAGATTTCAAATGAACTTGGCTATACCTATGTGCATTTTTATTACCATAGCTCGCCTAAAAGTTAAGATATACGTCATCGAAGCTGATGAAACCCCTTAAAACCCAAAAAAATCAAATTTATCAGGTGCTTCAATGATTCTGTGCCTCCTCTCAAAGCAATTTTTTGGGTTATGGGGCACAGAATTATTTAAACAACCTAATAGTATCAGTAGAACACATCTTCTGATGCCAGGATTCAAGACACCTAGTATAGTTTGTCAAAACTCATTTTTAGCCGCTCCAACTCTTGTCAACCCCAACTAACAAATCGATTCCTCTTCCCGCTAGCTGAATCCCTGACTCAATTTTTTCGAGTATTTCGTAATTTTATGTTTGCGCGCCCAGATTTCATAAACCCCCTCCCAGACAATCGCCAAAATGCCGCAAATAATTGATTGTCGTAAAGCGTCAATGATGACATTAATCTTTCAGCAAATCGCCCCTCTTCTATCACTGTTTCAATTCCGATTTCCGTTTTTTTCCAATTTCGTCTGACTTTGAAGGGTTACGGTAATATGCCCCAAAGGTAATCTGGTTACAGTAGTTATAAGTGGTCGGCCTAAAGTAAAGCTTAGGCAAGGCTAGAGCAAAGCTAGGGCAAGGCTGCAGCAAAGCAAAACCAATGCCAGGAAGAAAGGATAGAACAAGGCTAGGGCAAGGCTAGGGCAAGGATAGAGCAAAACTAACGCAAGGCTAAAGCAAAGCTAAGGTAAAGCTAGGACAACATTAAGGCAAAGTTAGGGCAAGGCTAAGGCAAGACTAGGGACGCTATAACAAGAGTAGAGCGAAGCCAAAGCAAGGCTAGGATAAAGCACGGGCAAGGCGTAAACAAGACTTGAACAATCACCTATGCAAAGCTGGGCAAAGCTTGACCAATCTTTTAGACTAGCAGACCAGGCTTTGCTTTACTACCCCGTCCGAGCATATTTTTGCCTAGTCAGGAGCTTTTTCATGCCTAGTCTGACTTTCAAAATCCTATAACAATACCTTGTTATTTTAAAAACCTTTTTTTTCTTTTAATTCTATTGTTTTTGTCTCATTTGGTGGTGTCAGAAAGAATCGTCTTTACTTTATGTAATAAAGTGTTAAGATGGCTGCCCATCAAACAGAGATTGGCGCCGCTCGGACCGCTGGAAATTGAAAGTTTTTGTATTCGAAGCGGGTTAACAAACAGCAAATATTGACCCTGAAGAATCATACGACTCGTTTAATCAATAAAACGTCAGGGTACGGTAGCCGGCATTAAGTGAGAAGGGGGCTTTCAATGAAAATTTTAAAAAATTTCAAAATTCTTATATCTCATGTTAACATAAAAAACTAACCAAAATGCCAAAAATATTAGTCATTTTGTCACACTAATTACTCGCTAGCCTCAAAAAACCTACTACAACCCCCCCCCCAAAAAATTTTTTTTATCATATCAGCCATGTTAACGTAGAACAGTAAAAAATCGAGTTTTCCGTCAAGGAATGTCAACATGAAACGTCTCGCCAAAGAATTCACGTTACGTCACGTTCAGCGAACGTCGTGATTCATTTTATAGTACATTTCATTGACAAAAAATGTCGTCAAAAGTCATATACGAAGGGGAACGCTTCTGAAGGCGGAAAATTGGATTTTGATCAACTTTGGAATGTAAACTTATGACATTTTTGGGTTGATGCGCTAGACAAATTTGAGAAATGCGTGGAATGTATCAGGGATAGTATATAGAGTTGTAGCTTGTCGTGTTGCAGATTACTCTTGGGTTTGCGGTAGAAAATGTTTTATTTTTTGGGTTTTTAGTTATGCTATGAAATTACAATCATAGTATCGCTTTAATGCTCTAAATTACGTTAATAGTCAAGTACAATAGTGTCATGTCTTGAAAATAAAAATAATTATAAGATTTCGTACTGAAAAGGGTAGAAATAGCAGTTAATGTACCGCGTAGCCATTTCTTAAGCCAGATTAACAAAGTCGTGCAGCCCTAGCCCTACATTTTTCTACACCTAAGCCAGCACTACTATCGCATATTTTAGATTTGCCCAAACTTTATCCTATCCTTTAGAAAGCCATTTTTACAAGGTTATTCTAGCTTTTTTTAAAGTTGTTCTACTTTACTCAACTATTTTCCACCTTCAATCACAGTGTAATTCTACTGTATTTACAATGTTTTTTTACTGTTTATCTCATTAAACTAAATTACTAATTTTTACCGTACTTTTTTCTTCGAAACACATAGAAATGAAAGTATAAACTACAGTAGAACTTCTGCATGACATACCGCGCGGGGATTTGAAAACTGTTCTTTCTAAAGAGATTTCAGTATAAAGGTAATGTGTAGTAGAAGGAAATTTAAAAGTTTGTACACTGTAACAGTAAGATAAAAAA